TTACTTCTTAATTCACCTACTCCTAAGCCGTCTGAATATTTGTTTTTACATCAGTTACGTCATTTAGACCAAAAAATTCCATTCCTCCTGCCTTCCTGTGACTGTGAATGTACCTCTCTTTTTCTCCTTTTCCTAATAAACCTGACCTTTTAAAGGTATTTGATAAATATGGCCCTGGTCTCCTTTTCAGTTTTAATTCACAACTTCTCTATGCGTAATGTTGCCTTATATTCTTAGCACACTATCCATAGGACTCTCTTAACCAATTTATCTGGTCACACGCTAGCTAGGCTACTCTGCAATGAGGGGAGCAACACTTTGCTCTCCCTCTCAGTGAAGACGTGTGCTTATCAAGGAAGTCAGTTGTGCTTGTTTCCAAATCAATTTTTGTCAGTTGTGCTTATTACAGCAAATATATAGCTGTGTAAAGTGCTAAAATAATGAAGCATAAATGAGAAGAGGAAAACGACAGCAGCAGCTAACATTGAGTGCTTATTCCTGCCAGTCACTGCTCTAAGTACTTCACATGAATTAACTCATGTAATCTTCACAAGAACCCTAGGAACAGGATATATTATTGTCTATTTTATAAAGGAAGAAACTGAGCAACTTGCCAAGGCTTGTACAACAATAAACGGTAAAGCAATTTGGCTCCAGAACTTAAGTATATAATATTATACTATGCAGTTTCTCTCATCTTTGTTTTTTTGAAAACCAAGTTGAAATCTTTGGTAAAACTAGATTAAGAGGAGTCACACAGATACACACAACTACTTAACTCTGCCTTGTAAGGTTAAAGTAGCCTCAGATAATATGTAAACAAATGAGTGTGGCTATGTTCCCATAATACTTTATTTACAAAAACTGACAGCAAACTAGAGTACAAGATTTGACCCCCATGCTATAGTGTGCAGATCCCTGAGACCCACACTCCAAGAAAAGCCTTATGTTAAAAGAATGGCAAAAAGGATGCCTACGTTTTTAGTTAAAATAAAATGTCTGTCTTGTTTCTTTATATTTCAGATATGTGTGAAATCATACTGTATTTGTCTTTGTCTGACCCATTTCCATGCTGTTGCAAATATCAAAATTTCAAATTAGACACAAAGAACAGACTGGTGGTAACCAGCAGGGTACCGGGCAGGGGAGCTGGCATGGTATAACATATAAAGGGAATCAATTGTATCATGATGGATGGAAACTAGATTTTTGGTGATCATGCTGATGGAGGATAAGAACAGAAAAACTGGAAAGAAGATGCAAGGTCAAGAACCTAACTCATACAAGCAGGTGGGGATAAAGGGGATTAGTGTAAGCCATTAAGCCAGGTATAGAAACCAAGATCCTTAGGCATCAAGGCCCAGATCAGGAGGGGCAACACATCCACCCACAAGATGAGTCCCTCCCTACCAAAAGAAGATGATAAAATCACCTGGGCTATGCAGGTGCTTCCTGTCACCAACTCTCTCCCTCTGCAGGGCAGCAGCATTCCTGCCTGCCTGACCTGTGCCATGCCCGGCTTCCCTTCACTGACCTCTCTCAGCAGAGGCAGCTCTCTTCAAGCCCACCCGCCTGCAACCATGCAGGCCTCTCTTAGCAAACCTGACCCTTTCCGGGCAGTTCTTCCTGCCTGCTTGTGTCTAAGGGGGAGCTCTGGTGAAACCTTTCCCAGAGTGAATCCCCAAGGACCCGGCACTCCAAACCCACTAACTCCAAAAACAATCTCAATGCTACAGTGTATACAGATGTTGAATTATAAGCTGTATACCTGAAAGTTATGAAATGTTGAAAACCGAGTATACCATAATAAAAATGGTGAAATTTAAAAAAAGGAAATGAAAAAAGTGCTTAAGGTTGGTACTTAACTAATATCTGCATGAGCCCCTGCTTTAACTTACTTTTTTAGTTAACAAACTATTGGCATTAATTGCATCAGATAAGAGATACTCTTGTAAAAAATTTGTGCCCTTTTTCCTGTCTGCTTTTGCCAAAGCCACCTCCTCAACCTGGAAGCCTTACTTTTCCACTTCCACTTGGATTCCCATTCATCTGGCTAATCTTCAGGGAGTCAAAACATTTTATAAATACATCTAAAAGCTGTATACTTATGCAAAACAAAGAAAAATGCTTAATTTAAACTTGAAATCAAGGCTTGCCTCACATACTTTTGCATTCCCAGGGTACTTAGAAATGCTGGAGTATAATCCACTCCTTTTACAAAGTATTTGTATTTAGGAGGCTTTGGCCTATGCTAAGGGCGAGTCAGTAGGGCGTTTCCTGACTCCCAGCTCAATATTCTAATTTAGGAAGACAGTGGCTTTGTAGGTAGACCCAATCTGCAAGTTTAAAGCCTTGAAAGAAAGACTAGGAGGTCAACACTCACCATCATTCCCTTCCTCATACCACTAGTCAGAACCAGCAGTTGTGTTCCCGTAAAGGTGATCTTGGTATGCCGATTTATGGTGTCCTAATACCAACAGGACTGATCCAGATTTTAGGAATCCTCCTTATCTAAAATGGCTACTTAAACCTCCCCATTCAAGAATACAAGATAAGTGCTTAAATGATCCCTTAGCATTTTTAAAAAGCACCACTCACATGTTTCACTGCTAGAGTGAAAATGACTAGTATTGGGAAGAGTTAGAATGAGCTTTTTTCCCCCGAGGGGTAGCCAAGTTCACATTCTAAACAGAGCTACTGCAACAGGTTCCAGTTCTGGTGCTTAGATTCCAGTTGCATCATTTTACACTATCAGCATCAGAGCTTTAACTATTTTAATCCATAAAATAAACACAGGAAATAGACATCAGGCCTATCCTTCAGAGGAATACTTTACTTACAAAAATCTGAGCTATGTATAAAATTTCAAGCTATCCTACTCCCCTTTACCCCTCCCCTAGAACTTTAAACAATCATTAAATCATCTTCAATTAACACAAGAGACTAAGCAACCCATGTAGTTCACAGCTAATACAGCGTTTTTACCTTCCTGGCAGATACTTACAAAAGCCAAGAGCCACTGCTGAGAGTAAATTAAGAACTTAAGGAACAAGGATGGATTCCATTACTCAATATAATAAAGAATGAGAACCCAATATGAGCAAGAAGGCATAGACTCGGTGACACAGGAGACATCAAGATGAATTAAAACTGTCCTTACCCTTGAGGAGCTTACAATTTAGTCAAAGAACACAAACTAAAATAACAAGAGGTGTTATAGGGCAACCCCAATGTGAAATAGGTTGGCCTGACTGTGGGTCCTTCACCCGCGTGCTTAAAAGGGACTTATAATGAGACTAAACTGCAGGCACACACAAAAAGGTTAATAAAGGGCTTTTTTACAAAAAGGGGAAATGAAGAAATGAATAACTCTGGGAGATAAATTGATGAAAGCGTCCTTCCAGTTCCACTGAGATGGAATCCCAACAGCAAGCTGAAAGCAAGGACCAAGGCCCACATGTCTGGTTATATACCAACTCTGGCTGATTAACTCCACTCTCAGTTCCCAGCAACCCTCCCTTCGGTGATGATGACATTATGGAATTTGTAGTCCTTGGTGTCTTGGATCTCTTTGGTCTAGGGTGGGGGTGGGGTCCATAAAACCTATTTGTGGAGTTTGTTCAGGACATCCTTTCCCCCCAACAGAAGGACAAGGGAAGTGCCAAGGGTATGGTAATCTCAGAGGGAGCCATCAATCACTTCAATTTCACGCTTACAGATTAAAACATTCAGGTAAGGGACACCTGTTGTAACAAACTGATTGACAGACATCCTTAGTGAAAGACCTCCAGTGAGATCTATGGAAAGAGTAAGATATTGTCTGCTTATCCATACCTTGGCTAAGTCACATCTACCTGGAAACTCTTCCAAGAATTATACCAGGTTACCACAGAAATACTTACATAAGATACACACAGGGAGGAAACTGGAAGCAGGGCAGTAGGTAGCAACTGATGTTTACTTAGGTCTGTGGCAGGAAGCCTAAGCAAAACCCAGGACAAAGCCAAGGCTGGGGAATTTTCCTCCTTTCCATCACCCACTAGAATGCCCCAGCTCTCCTGCATCTCACCTGCATAGGTGGACTCGGGAGAGAAGACTACTCTTAAGATATATGCCACTGTAGACATAATCACACTGTAGGAGCACATGGCCTGAAGGAGGCCATCACCCTTCACCCATCAGCTGCTCACTCAGTCCTCAATTAAAAGACCAGGAATCCGGGCCCTGTTCGCCCTTTACTCTCTCTGACTTCGGACTAACCACTCAAGTGCTTAGTTCCTTCGTTTCCCTATCTGTGAACTCTGGGACTGTGAGGAGACTGAGATTGAATCTGATGACCTCGGAGATCTAAAAGTCAACATGCAAACACCAAACAAATGGCCCGTCGAATAAAAATATACATAAACGAGAAAATGAGCGGTCGTGGCTTTGGGACCGCTTTATAGCCCGGGAAACCCACACACCAAGGACCCTGTCCCAAGGTCACTCCAGGTGTGTCACCGTAGTGGACGGGCGGAACGCTCAAGTCCCTGGAATGCCATTCCTGGGCCCTTTCTCCTTTCGCCGCGCAGAGAAGAGCAGCTTAGAGGGTCCTCCTCCCAGAGGGGAAAGGACGATGCCCACGTCAGGGTCGCGAGAGGGGACGGGGGAAGCCTTACCTTCGCAGATGGAGTCTGGCCCCCGGCGCCCGCCTCTCAGAACCTTAACCCGTCACCCCCACCAGACTCTGCGGAGCCCCCTCCACTTCTGCCCGGCTTGACGTGTCCACCGCCGCCACCTAGGCCGCCGCTTCCCGCCCCTGCCCCGCCTCCGGCATCTCCAGCCAATCCCGAAGCAGGATTTCCGAGCCCCTGCAGGTTTCGCCGCCTCTGCTGGCCAGAGGGGCCTTACGTCATGCGACGCGCGTGCCGCGAGGTCCTCCCCTTTCCCTTCCCCCCCACCTTCTCACCAGCGGGGGCTGCTCCCGGCCCTGGCGCCTTGAGGGAGTTTGTCCTGCCGGAAAGCAGCCCGCCGGCGCGGCCTTTCACGACGCCAGGGTGAAAGGCCGTGGAAACACCGGGACTTCCTTCCCGCAGCCGGGCGGAACCCTGCGCGATGTTCGGTGCGGGCGACGAGGACGACACTGATTTTCTCTCGCCCAGTGGCGGGTGAGTGTCCCAGAAGCTTGGGCCAGAGAGCCGGGCAAATAATCGGAGGGGGCTCCATCTATTCCCGACCTCTTCGCAACTTCCGGGTCCGGATCCTTACTGCATTCCGGGGCTCTCTACCTCTCGGGGTCCGGGCAGAGCTCCAAAGTGTTGAGTCTGACCCTGGATTCTGGACCTGGCATCTCCCTTACACACACACTGGGACCCTGGTGTTCGCCTTTTGCTTTCTGGGTCAGTTTCTCCCGTGAAGTGGGGGTGATTGCTAATAGGAATCTCGCTCAGAGTTTTTATAGGAGTTTTTATTGTAGTCACTGGCATCGATATAAGACTTTTCTCATTAGACAAGGTGGTAACACTATAGAATTGGCCCTGGTGGGTCACTTTCAGCATCTTGCAAGGCCCAGATCGAAAACTGTTTAGTGATTTCCCTTCTCCTACAACCTCAGGCAGAATAACTTGCTTTCTCTTCCTTATTTCAACAGCTAAGCACATTTTCCTCTATCCATGCACACCGACTGTGAGGCTTGGTAGGACAGAAATTGCTTATGTTCATCTCTGTCTAGCGCCTGGCACTGTACCTGGCACCTAGTGAGTGCTCAGGAGGAGATTGTTGAATGAATAACCACTATGAAGTTGTTGCATGGAAGTTGCACTCTAATGCCCAGCTTGAAAAACTGAGATCGCTATCCCTTGCCCCCAATCATATAGAGCGCCTTGGGATTCAAGTCTTAAGTAAGTAGGACTTTGTTTTATTCAGTGATCAGCTTAGCCTTTTCCCTTGTATTGTTAGTCGACAGCTAGACTCCCTCAGTCTTGTGAGCTGCCAAGCTCTGATCCTTGAAGAATCTTTCAGTTAACATTTGTTTAAGAATGATGAATAGACCAACATAGGCCCATCAGTCAGCCAACGTCTAAGATTTACAAAGATGACTAAGCTACTGCCTGCCCTCAGGTTGCTTCCAGTCCTGCTGGACAGTTCAATACATGAATGATCATAAAATGATACTGGTTCTCTTTTGGTCTAACATGGGATCTTTTACACTGTGATTGATTCTAGGTTACCTACCTTTAAGTCCTTTTCACTTTTATCACCCTGATGCACCCCTGCCCCCCACTTGAGAAGGCCTATGCCCACTTAGTTCTCCTTTGGGTTCTTTCAGTTGCTGAGTTATTTTAGAGTTAAGTCATGCTTTAGTTCCTTTTTTTCCTATTCCTCCCAAAATATTCACTAAAAGGTCCACACAGGCTAGCCTGCTGCTGCTGACTGCGCCTTTTGAGTTCATATTTTTCCATCTAAATTTGTTATGTATATGGGTGTGCCTTTTAAAAGTTTCCAAGATGGACTTAAAATTCACATTCTCTACTAGGTCAAAATATCAATATTTGGAGGAAGATTGTAAAAGAATGTTATGATTCCCAATTTCCATGCAATCCACTGAACTGGAAATACAGTGTAGATACTGACAGTCATGTACTGTTTTCTAGATTCCTGATCTGAGATAAGCTCTTGGTGGCTCAACTCTGCTGCTCTGCTTTAGCACTCATCAAAGATCTACACTTTAGCTCTAGGCGTGTGACTGTGCTCCTTGTCATAGACAACCGCTAACTGAATGATAAAAGGCTTAGTAGACAAGGTTATACAGATAATTTTTGACCCCAATAATAACCAGGAAAACCAAATTTAAGATTGAGAATATAGAAAGCTTCACTAACATTCTCTGATCCAGCTTCTCCTTTGGTTTTCTTTAAGGAGGTAGAATGTATGACAGTGAACACTGCATCTGCTTTTCAGTTCCTCTTTTACAACTGTAATATTCTGTAAATATACTTGTTTATTAATTTTTAAATATCTTGACTTAGACATATAAATAATATGACTTACTAAATTCCATTTAGGATAGTCAGACTTGGTGGGACTCCCTGGTGGTGCAAGGGGTTGAGATATAACCTATGAAGCTGACCGCAGCCACTGCAGCACGAGTTCAATCCCTGGCCAGGGAGCTACCCGCATGGCACAGCAGACCTCTCCTGGCTCGCCTGCTGCTCCCTTCAGCAGTGTGTCAGTCTGTTTTGTCCCCCACTCTGTCTCTGGTAAATCTTCTCACCCTCCGCACCTCTGGCCTGTACCCCAGCTCTTGTATGCATAAATAAATCTTTAGGATAGTCAGACTCACAGGAGGTGGGAATATTAGTGCCTAGGATGGCTGTCAAATGATTGATAATCTGTCTTCCAAGTTACTGGGATTAAAGTCCCAAAAAAGTTGTTGCAAAATTTCAGTATTTACTTCACCTAAACTAAGTATGCTTTTGGAAAAGAGGCACTCAGAGCTAAATTAGACTTTGAGTTCATTTATTAAACCCATTACATACCAGACCTTGGCAAAATATACAGTCAAGTGGTGATTATAATAATTGGTTACTATGTTATGTGATAAATAGTCATGTAACTTTATTAATTTATGTGGAGTACAATTCCATATAGCAGCTGCTTGTTAATAGATCTCATATTACAGTTTGCAGTTATATTTTACTTAATGTGTATTCTGTATGTTAGAATACATATAAGCTCCTTGAAAATAGAACCTTGTTTTGCTTATGAGGTTTATACCCAGCACTTAGCACACGTCTGACATTTATTTCTTGAGTGAATTGAAGTACAGATTTTTATGAAAACTCCTAGGAAGATCTCCTAGACTTTGAGATTAGGGAAGCTTCCAGAAAAGAGGAAGAACAAGAAGAATGTTTCAAGGAGAGGAAACAGCATATCTAAAGCCTGGAGATTCAAAAGATCTTGCCTAATTTGAGACACTAAAATTTCCTCATTGTGCAGAAAAGGCCAGATAGGAAGCTGAGGAAGTTTGGAGGAGCAAGGTCTTGAAGGACCTTGTGAAACGGTCTTGTAGAGTTTAGATTTTTCTCTTGATAATATTGATGCATCATTGAGGGTTTTAAGGAGGAAAGAAACTTGGTCAAATTTGTTTTTTAGAAAGGTCACCATGGGTATAGTGGGAAGAAAGGATAAGAAGTGGCAAGACCACAGGATGGAGGCATGTAGGGAGATTGTTGCAGTCATTCAGATATGATGGTCTCCTGAGAGGGGAAGTTGCAAAAAGGATGGGGAGAAGTAAATGGGTCTGAGAAGTATTTAGCAAGTAAATTAAAATGGATTTAGGAATTGGTCATAGACATCAGGGGGGAAAGTCAAAGTGTTGCCCAGACTTCAGTTTGAGTTGTGGATGTTTGCAGCAAGGAGTTAATACACTAGACCTGAGACTGTTCTGAGAAAGTCCTGCCTGCAAGGTTGGCACTTGACTGGCATCTGGGAACCTGATTGGTCAAATTTCACACACTGACTGATATAAAGCCTTCTGTAAGTGATAAGAGTGGCTCACCCTGTCTAAACTATTTCTACAAACAATATGGTTTATACTGAATAGCTGCTTTTCCTTTGGGAGAATTTTGGTACATGCTGGAAGATTTCAATGTGACTAGCCCCTAAGAAAGAAAAAACCTTGGGTATTGAATCTCCAGGAGGTTCCCTGACAGATCATACTTCACACATTACAACTCATTGCTGGCCGAATTAATTATGTCCTGTGAAGCTCCATTGAAGAGGACTCTTGGAAGCTTCTTTCTGGTTTCCTCTGAACTTTGGCCCATGGTCCGATTTTCCCTTTGCCAATTTTGCTGTCATCCTTTCATTGTAATACGTACAAACTATGTGCTGTAATGAGTACAACTGTATGCTGAGTCCAGTGAGTCTTGTAGTGAGTCATTGAACCTAGGGACCAGATACAATATGTTATTCACCGAAAAGAGGAAACACAAGAGTAAGAACAGGTTCTCACCTGCGAGTAGAGGATATGCTAGTTTGGACATTGCAGTTGTGTTGTCTGTGGGACATCTGTGATGCCTAGTCCACAGGAGCAAGACAGGCTGAGAAGACAGATTTGAGCATCAGTTTTTGGATAGCACTTGATACCAAGGTAAATAATTAAGATTGCCAAGGAAGAGAGAATATGATATTTTGGGGACATGGACATTTAAAAGACAAAGGGAGGTCCCGGGAAGTTAAATAAGGAGCCAGATAGATGGGAATCCAGAAAGGGATTAGAATTTACTGATGTCTTATTTGGACTAGCCCCTCTTCCCATCTCGGTAGGTGTTCCTAAGGTATTTCAAGGAAAGAGTTTGTTTGAAGATGAACAAAGTAGTTATTTGTTTGGCATCAAGGCCAAATAAGATAAGGACTATTTAGTAACAAAAGGCTATTGTAGGTGACTTTAGCTAGAGAAGTTTCAGTGGAATGGTTGGGGCATAGGATTCATTGCAAAGGAAATGCAAGAATGCTTCTGCCCCATTAGCTGAAATGATAGATAAGACCATGTATGATGGAGTAAGTTTATAGTACAGTTTTATTTCAGTTTAGTAAACTAGTAAAAGGTAAGAAACTATAACTAACTAGAGGCAAGAATTTATGGTTTAAAGAAACTATAGACAGCACCTGGACCAGTCACTTCAATTTCTAGATGCTGAAATTGAGGTCCATAAGGGAAATACCTTGACCGGAGCCCTATGGAAGGACAAGGTTAACTGGTGCTGTTCAGATCAGAAAGTCAATTGTGATTTCTTTTTTTTTTTTTTAAGATTTATTTTTATTTATTTGTTTATTTATACAAACCCTGGGTACAGTCAGAAGCGCGGGAGGGTGAGAGAATTCACCAGAGCCAGAGTGGGGAGCAGAGCAGGCGGAAGGACCGAAGCGCACTGCTGAGGGGAGCAGCGGGCGGCAGGAGAGGTCTATGTGCCATGCCGGATCTCCTCTGGTGGCCAGGGAGCAGCCGGGGATGGAACCGGAGCTGCAGAGGCTGCGGGCAGCTTCGCAACCCAGCGCTCAACCGCTGCGCCACCAGGGAGGCCCAATTGTGATTTCAAAGACACATAGCTGCTACCTCCAATATTGAATGGTGGGAGATATGGTCAAGGAGGCATTTGTTCAAGGTTAAAGAGAACAGCTTTTATGATGATTCCAGGTTTGAGATATGTCAAATGAAATGTCATTTTCTTCTTCTATTAACAGTGCCAGATTGGCTTCTCTTTTTGGATTGGATCAGGCAGCCGCTGGCCATGGAAATGAATTCTTCCAGTACACAGCCCCAAAGCAGCCTAAAAAAGGCCAGGGAACAGCACCATCAGGTAAGTTAAGAGGTAAGACTAAGGTTGTTATCAAGTTATTAGAGTTGAATAGTTGTAATAGATATCATGTGGCCCATAAAACCTAAAATATTTACAACTTGTAAAATATTTACAACTTGGTCCTTTACAGAAAATGTTTGCAATCCCCTGCTCTAATTTTTCCTGTCACTTTTGACATTTTTGCTCTGGGTTGCTGATCCTGTTCTCCAAGTCATTGCCTGGGCAAATTTCTAGTAGACTATGCCTTTACATTTCCCTGGTATACCACAAAGAAGCATCAGCAGTGTGCTTCTTTGTGGATTTTAAATGGTTAAGTTAGTGGGTGTGGAAAAAATAAATAACCTCGTGAAATTTAACCTTTTTTTTTAAATGAGACCATGAAATCATTCTCCTTTTAAAGGGGAATTATAGAGGCATTTCAACTTAGAAATTACAGTCTTGTGTAAGCATTCACAAATAAAAAGTAAAGTACCAATATGACTTTTTCTTTCAAGATACACTTATTTAAGAAGTCCTCATGGGGCCTCCCTGGTGGCACAAGGGGTTCAGCATAGCACTGTGAAGCTGTCTGCAGCCTCTACAGCATGAGTTCAATCCCTGGCCAGCCAGGGTGCTACCCACATGGCGCAACAGACCTCTCCTGTCTTGCCCACTGATCCCCTCAACAGTGTATTTCAGTCAGTCTGTCTGTTCTGTTCCCCACTCTGTCTCTGATGAATCTCTCACCACCCGTACCTCTGGCCTGTACCCCAGTTCATGTATGCATAAATAAATAAATCTTTTTTTTTTTTTAAAAAAAGAATTCCTCATGGGGAAGATGGCTGTAACATAGTTCTTGAATCTAAATATAAAAGCAAAATAATATACATAAAAGAAAAGTTTATGGATAATATTAATAATGAAAAGATATCCTATGAACCCCTAAATACAAGCAGGTATGGACAGACCACTAACAGCCACAAGGCTTGTGTGGCATTAGCATTTGCATGGGAGAAGACAGGGAGGCCATAGTGTATCTGATTCTGAAAATGAGAGAATTGCAAAAAAGCCACAGGTGTTCATGGAAAACATGACAAGCCAAGCTGAAGTGTGTTTTGTCCACTTCAGTTGTGTATAAGTACAAGAGGTTGATGAGGACTGGAGCAGTCTTATTCCTATGAGCTTTTGAAACTCACCTATTTAGGCAACCTTCCAAATCAGATCCCTGGGAGGTTGAAAAGTGCTGGGAGTGAAATTAAAATTGAAGAGCATAGGGATATTAAAAGTGAAGGAGAATAGATCCTGATAAAAGTAGGGGTAGAAATAGATTCAGGAAGTCTCAGGAGGAAGGCGCCACATTTTCTTAACTCAGAGGGGAGAACGCTGTAAAACTCAGTCATCCCCACTTTCTCTCCAAGCATGGAGATAACAATAAAATCCACAACTCTGCAAAATTTCTTATTTGATTAAAAAAAGTTCAGGAAAGCAATTTTCACATCAAGATGAGCAATAGGAAAGCATCAAAGTCAAACTTCTTATAGCTATAAGGACAATGAGTGCAAGGAACAGAACAATATCCCTACAATGAGAGCTCTAGCTCATTGAGAATGTTTCTTACTGAATAGAGAAAAACTATAACCAATAGCTATTTGTTATATTAATATCAAGAAAATAATATATGAAATGAGAATTAGAATTTCCCAGAAATGAGAGGCAAAATTAGCAATGTATGAAAATTATTTCAGAAATGAAGACTAAGCTAGAAAGAACTCAGGAATGGACAAAACAGACTGTGCCTTAGAAAACAGTAGGTTAACAGGAAGAATTTTTTTTTTTACTAAAGCTATAAAAAAAAATGAAAAGAAAGTGACAAATATTGAAGTTGGGAAAGAAGATTCATTATCAGAAAAATAGATTTTCCTGAAACTGAAAACAAAAGCAGGAGGAAATGAACAAATACTAAAAGATATAATTCAAGAAAACTTTGCATGGGAAAAAAATTAGAAATTGCATATTAAAAGAAGTTCTCATGAGTTGGAATTCAAGAATGAGCAATACTGATTTCAAAAAGATCATAATGCTGTGTCAATCAGAGGATCACATGATTGTGGGCATCTGACTCTCTTATCCCACTGGCATATCCTTGAACACCCTTGCCTTTCCAGGGGATAAGATAGGGAGCAGAGTTGTGCACTGGGACACATTAAGTAACCTGAGGGAGGATGCTAGGCTAACCTCAGGGAGATAACAGTTTTTCTCAGTGTCCCAGACTTGTCCTGATAACCAAACTCTGGCCTTGGTTACTTTTGTTCTGCCATCAGTGACTTCCCAGGAGAAAAGTTTTATTGTACGGGCTCACCTCAGAAATACTGCAGTTTGGTTTGAGACTTCTGCCACCAAGAGAATATTGTGAGTCACACAGTTCTTTTTTGTTTCCCAGTACGTACTAAGTTATGTTACACTACCTGTAGTCTATAAGTATGTAGTAGCTATGTTTTAAAAGAAACCAATGTCCGTACCTTATTATAAAATGCTTTATAGCTGTAAATGTTAACTATCATCTGAGCTGTTGGAAAAATGGTGCTGATAGGCACTCCACACAGGGTTGCCACAAACCTTTAATTTGTAAAGAACACAGTAACTGAAACATGATAAAGTGAAGTATAATAAAGTGAGGTATGCTCATAGTATTATATACAACTGGAAAATACAGATTAAGTTAAAAACTATGTTGTAACAACCCAACTAAAATATGGACAAAAGACATAAATAGACATTTCTCCAAAAAATGGGCCATTTAGATGGCCCACAGACACATATAAAAATGTTCACCATCACTTATTACAAGGGAAATGCAACTCAAAACTACTGTGAGATATCACCTCACCCCAATGAGAAAGGCCTGTGTCAAAAAGAATTAAAACAGCATACATTGGCGAAAAGGTTGAGAAAAAGGAACCCTCATCCACTGTTGATGGCAATGTAATTTGGTGTAGCCTATACTAATATGGAGATACCTTAAAAAATAAAAAATGTAAACACCATATCCTATGGCAAAACCATTGCTAGGTATTTACCCAAAGAATATGAAAAGATTTAAGTCCTCCTAGGTTCATAGTGTTATAGGGCAGTCCCGATACAAAACGGGTTGCCTGACTGTGGGTCCTCACCCGCGCACTTAAAAGGACTTATCAATACTCTACTGCAGGCACACACGAAAGGTTAATAAAAGGTTTATTTACAAGGGAAGGGCAAATGAGGAAATGTACAACTCAGGGAGAAAAGTGGGAGACAAAGTTTTAAATGTGTCCTACCCGATCCGCTGATCTGGAATCCCAAATGGCGCTCTGAGAGCTGGCCGCGAGCCAGGAGCCATGAAGCCAGGAGGCGAGCGAAAGAGCGAGCCCCGCAAAGCCCACGTGTTTGGTTTTTATACCAAATCTGGCTGCTTAACTCCACCCTCAGGTCCCAGCCACCTTCCCTTTGGTGGTGACGGGATTTGTCTTTCCCAATGTCCTGATGGCTTTGGTCTGGAGTGGGGGTGGGGTCCACAAAGCCTGCATGGAATTAGCTCAGGACATCCTTTCCCCCTAACAATTGTAGCATTATCCGCAATAGTCAAGTTATGGAACCAACCTAAGTGCCCTGCGACAGACAATTGATAAAGAAATTATGGAATATATACTCAGTGGAATACTACTCAGCTATTAAAAATGATAAGACAATGCCTTTGGAACAAAATGGATGGATCTTCCAAGTGAAATAAGTCAAAAAATGAAAGACAGGTACCACACGGTCTCACTTATATGTGGAATATAAATAACCAAAGAATACCTACTGGCAAAGCACAGCAAAAACTATTCTTAGACTGAAAAATATACTGGTTACCAGAGGGAGTGGGGGGAGGTAGGAGGGGATGGGGAAGGAAGGACATAGGAGATTGTGTGGAAATTTTGGTGAAGGGTGAGTGAAGCATCCACACATATAGAGGTATGAAAATGTACCCCCCCAAATTAAATAGACATGTAAATGACTTACAGGTTAATAATACAATAAAATAAAAACTATGTTGTAGGTCTTACAAAATGATAAAACTAAGATCACTAGGCTAGGCAAATAAACCATAGAAATGGGCACGTCTTTACAACAACAAAACAAATGGCCAATAGAAATCTATTGAAAATGTTAAATTTCTGCTTTCCTGTATTTAGTAAATGCAAATGGACAAAAAAAAAAAAAAAAACAAACCCAGTGAGATGACTTTCCCCTTTTCCCTACTGCCCCTATCAAATACTCATGAAGATTTCAAAAGGTAGTTGTGGTCTTGTCCTCAGGGGTGTAACAGCAGGCATACTCACCGCAGGTGGGAATGTAAACAGGAATGACATTTCTCAAGGGCATTTGGACAGGACCATTCAAGCTTTTTATGCCCCTTTATTCCATAATCCCATTTTTAGAAATTTATTCTAAGAAATTAGAGTCACACATAAAAATGTGTGTTTTTAAGAGATGCTCACTGTGGTGTTATTGATAATAAACTAAAAGCCGTCTAAGCGGTGGAACCTTAGAGTAGAAAAGTTTAGGCTGGAAGGTCTCACAAAGACAGACATCAGAGGTTGGGGTAGTGATGATTAATGAATTTTGGACTAAACTTGGCTGTGGAAGTTTCCAGGAATCTAGGTAGTGTCAGAAAAGATCAGCCACAGGTAGGGGCATAGTATTATCTATTGATCTTAGAAGACCAACCCAATCTGACCCCAGTGCAATAATTTCCACAATAATTCCTTCAAAAAACATTATAAAAGAACACCCTTGCCCTGGCAAATGCAGTTCTTATTCCTTAAGACTGCCCTTCTGTGTCTATGCAGGCATCTCTTTCCTTTTTTCCTTTCCTCAGTAAACTAGCTGTGTGCTGATGAATGGGAACTGCTGAATTCTTTCTCAGAGGGACCCAAGAACCCCATGCCCCAAACCCTGTCACCCAAATTCCATCATAAGGAAGTGACAGACAGAAGGAAATTGGATGCATTGGTAGTTATAGACACTAAAGAACATTTTTAAGATTAGTTTGTTTTGGAGACTGTTTTGAAGAGTATAAGGAAATGCTTATAGTAAAATAGAATAAGAGATTGTCAGATTACAGGAAAGATAAAAGAACTGCAAAGTTTCTATGATAGGGAAAGGACTAGCAGTGAATACAGCAAATTGCTAACATTTGTTTTTGGATGGTGAGCGTATGGTCATTTTTTTTTTTTTTTAAAGATTTATTTATTTATTTATACAAGCACTGGGTACAGTCAGAAGCGTGGAAGGGTGAGAGAATTCACCAGAGCCAGAACGGGGAGCAGAGCAGGCAGAAGGACCAAAGTACACTGCTGAGGGGAGCAGCGGGTGGCAGGAGAGGTCTGGGCACCAATGTGGGACCCTCCTCCAGTGGCCGGGGAGCAGCCGGGGATCAAACCGGCGCTGCAGAGGCTGCGGGCAGCTTCGCAACCTAGCGCTCAACTGCTGCGCCACCGAAAAGGCCCACGTATGGTCATTTTTTTAAGTTTTCTACCATGTATATTTAGTCTGTTATCTGAAAAAAATAATACTTTAAACAAAATTCAACTGAGTATTTAATATTTCATTGGTTTTCTTCAACCATTTGCAGATCTGCAACATCATTCCTATATAGCAGATAGCAAGGAGCTCTGAGAAGCTGTACGAAGTGGAAGCATTGTAGGCAGAAGGGGCAGGGAATGAGAAAGACACACTAGGCAAAAGAGCAGGCTGATTATTGCAAGGTTCCTTTCCTTTAGGCTAGGGCAGGGTCTATTAGGCATTTTACTCACTGCTGATAAGGCAATACCTGATTGGTTTATCATTCCATTTGTGGGAGAGCCAAAACTGTAATTAAGGTACATCTCAGTTTGGTGAGGAGGGGTGGGGGTAAGATCTTAGTATGAAAAACTCTATTTGGGGGCCTGTTTTGTTATTTTTAACAATACTAAAAAAAAAAAGATACTTTTGAAATAAGATTTTGGTTGTTCAGTTTCCTCATCCCCAGGCCAGGTCATATTGATTGGTGGCTGTAATGACCGATAACACTTAAGAAATTGTTTATCACTAAGGCACAAGAAGAATTTTGAAGCTGGTTTAATGGTGAGAAATCCGTTTGAAGCACAAAGTGAATGACAGCTTTCTTTCCTTCTTCATCTTCAGGAAATCAGGCTACACCGAAAACCACACCCACCACAACAGGCACTTCCACAGTACTGGTTGCAACAGCAGTCCATGCTTATCGATAGTAAGTAGCAGAGAAGGAATGCTTTGTGAGGTTGGGGGTGGGTTAATAAGCTCATATCCTTTTTTCTGTAAGCCTCTGTTCTTTGCAAAATAACTACTTAGTCCTTTCATAGACAAGTATCAGTAATGCTTTTTAGCATTTCAGTTTTTCACAGTTCTGCACATAAGATTTTGAGGAACCATATCTTCTCTTGCTAGGAAGTTCTTGTCTTCTCAATTCCTCCCTTTTTAAGTACTCAAAGAAAGCTACTCCCCTGAGATATCTTGACAATAGATGTTTAAAGAATAAAGAAGTTGTATAAGAGCTTTAAATTATAAACTGCTCACCTTTGTCCCCTTCTGAAGACTAAATGACCTGCTTCCCTTCTTCTATATGGCAGAAAAGAAAGCTGGTTCTGTTTTAATTTAAGGAAGTATTAATATGTGTTGTTTTTCTTGCTTCTCAAGCACAAATGGTCAATATTTAAAGCAGGGCAAGTTTGGTGCTGCAGTCCTGGGGAATCACACAGCCAGAGAGGTAAGAATTGGCCTATTGTCTCACGTATATTCAAGTGTCGCAAATCATATTGATGAGCTGGTTTTTATTTGGCTTGCTCCTCCCATGTCAGAGGATTAAAATGATTGCATTTAATGTGAATTTAAATACTAGTTATATAGCAACACTTAGAGCTGCTTTTTACTATTGTGCATTAAAACATCCAGGGACTCAAAATCCCTACGTTTGATATTTGTGGTAAGGACTTCACTTAAGAATCTGGAGAATTTTAGAGTAAGTCATTTAGCAAGCACAATTCTTAGGTAATGAATGACACTTACTGTACTACTGAAAGCATAACATCTCTGTGCCTGCCTTAATGACCAGTGTTTATCTTTGAAAGTTTGATTATAAGATAAGCAGTTAATCACACAGTGTAATGTGGTTTGGGTCAAAAAGATGTGGCTAGAAGCACCAAAGACTGATTTCCTTATATGGAAATAGTGCTTCAAATTCTGTTCCAGAAGGTTTGGAACATTATTGGAATCAATAAAAGAAATTATAGAATTTCAGAGTCCAGAGAGCATGAAGTTCATGTTCCTCAGAAACTCTTGAGTCATGGAAATAAGATTGTAACAGGGTAGTCCCCAGGAAAGGGGAAGGTTACAGGTTCCCTGCCCCACCAAAGGGAGGGTGGAGCTGAGCAGGGAAAGAAGAAACTGCAGAGGAAGGTAGGAAGCAGGAGGCAGAGCCAGAAGGAGACCTGGAGGAAGCATATGGAGCCAAGAGACACATGAAGAAACTGCACTTGCCTTTTGGTCATTGACTGGTTAACACAGATGTGGATGAGAGACCCGTGGGGAGATCAATGGCAGTTTTTGTCTTGATTTTGATTTTTCTCTTTTCACTCCAGACTTGTCTGGTTGTTTCTCATCCTTTTCTGTGGGTCCCCACTGGAAGATGTTTTGGACTTGTGGCAGGCTTTGGGGCCTTGCTCTGGGCCAATCCCATTTGGATGGACTTTTGCCCACAAGGGAATGGGTAACTTTGGGTGCTTGATTTAGAAACTATATTCTTTGCTTTTCCTGTATTGTTTCCTAATTGTATTAAAGTTCCTTCCAATTACAGTATCATATGTTTTGTGTTGATGCGGCAGATGGCAGAACCTAGAGCAGGCAGGTTTGCGGGGCCTGGGGTGCCCCTGTCCCTGCCCTGTAACAGATTTGGTGCCCCATGTTGGGTGCCAAACTGTTACAGGGCAGCCCCGATATAAAACTGTGTTGCCTGACTGTGGGTCCTCACCCATGTCCTTAAAAAGGACTTATTAATGTTCTACTGCAGGCACACACAAAAGGTTAATAAAAGGTTTTTTACAAGGGGAGGGGAAATGAGGAAATGTACAACTCAGGGAGAAAAGAGGGAAATAAAGTCTTAAATGCGACCTACCCTTTCCGCTGCCCTGGAATCCCAATGGCACTCTGAGAGCTGGCTGCGAGCTACGAGCCGTGAAGCCAAGAGGAGGGAGAGAGACCCCCAAGACCCTCGTGTCTGGTTGTATACCAAACCTGGCTGCTTAACTCCACCCTCAGGTCCCAGCAACCTTCCCTTTGGTGGTGACGGGATTTGTCTTTCCCAATGTCTTGATGGCTTGGGTCTGAAGTGGGGGTGGAGTCCACAAAGCCTGTATGGAATTAGCTCAGGACATCCTTTCCCCCAACAAGATGATCGTCCAGGCTGTAATATAGTAGACAGCACTCATTTGTATTCAGAGAAACAAAAAACTGAATTATGAAAAATTGGAAACATATAAAAACAGTAAGACAGAATAATGAACCTTCAAATATCCATTAACTAGCTTCTCTTACTTAATGTGAACCCCAGCCTGTATTCTTCTCCTACTCAGATTATTTTGATTAAACTCTAGGACACCATCCTACCTGTAACTATTTCAGAGTGTATTTCTAAAAGATAATTTTTTTAATATAGCCAGTATGCTGTGATCACATCTGAAAAACCCCCACAATACTTCTTTAACCTTATTTATGACTAGTGTTCCAATTTCCCTGGTTATTTAAACTTTTTTTTTTTCCACAATTGGTATCAATCAGTACCATGCAATTGCTCACTCTGTCCCTAAAATCTTTCATTTTCCTTTCAGCAGTAAATTAATGTTATCTCTCATGTTGTTCTCCTTTCTGTTGGTCGGAGTGTGCCGGGTTTGTGACGGGGAAGGGTAACAGGGTTCTGAGCTTCCCTCTCTTTTCATCCTATTTTGTGGCTACTTTCCTTTTTGGGCAGTTTACCAGAGTCGCCCGTTTATCTTGTGTGTCCCGGTTCTCGCAGGGACCTGCAGCTTTTCCTCCCTATTAACTGTTTTTATGGGAGGACTTACTTGTAAGGTTTCTCTGCTGCCGTGTTGATCCTCCTCCTGTCTCTCATTTTGTTATGTTAGCAATTATCAGTGGTTATTGTCCAGATTTATTTTTGGTTCATTAAGATTTTACAAATCTGGTATTGGAACTTGTACAATTGTAAAAATTATATTCATTGGACAGTTGTGGAAATGGGGCCTAGATGAACTAAAATTTCATTGAGAGAAGAGCCAGTGAGCTGAGTATTTCCTACCCTTGAACTTGCTAATGCGTAGGAGTAGATTGAGCATCAGGTATGGCGCAAGCAGAGACTTCTGGGGGAGAAACCTAGAGGAGCTTCAAACAGAAGTTTGGTTTTCCCCCAGGGGACATTTACCTGCAAAATTCACCCCCTCATGGTGTAGAAATTCAGAGACTGTGCCAGAAAAGCAAAGAGAAAGTTTTGTAGTCTTCATTACTTTCCCACAATTGGTGTTCCACTTCTTTACATCTTTGCCAACATTTCATTATACACCACCACCATCCCCCACCCCCCCACCCCCGCTTTTTTAATTGTTGCCAACCTAGTAGGTGTGAAGTGGTACCTTAGTGTGGTTTTAATTTCCATTACCCTAATGACTAATGGTATTGAGCACCTTTTCAAGTGCTTGTTGGCCATTTGTATATCTCTTACTTACCTCTTATTTATTTACCAACAAAAGACATTGCTAATTACAATTAAAGACTAAGGCTAAAATGAGAAGAGATTAAAAATGGATAGTGAAAAAATACCAATTTAAGTCCAAGCTTGAAGGGATGAACTGAGTTTTGACTTTTATGCCTATGTGGAGCACAACCCGCAACATCTTATTGCTGAGTTTACACTGCCTTTTAACTTTCTATTCTCTTTTTTTTCTGCTCATCTTTGCTTGAGTACAGTATCGGATTCTTCTCTATATCAGTCAACAACAGCCAGTTACTGTTGCCAAGATTCATCTGAACTTTGAACTAATGGTAAGAATTCCTATATTTGAATCTTTTCCTCTTTTGAGAAAGGTTTATTGTGGGAATTAGATCTGCTGCTTCAGCCCTGGGTGTCCATGTGGCTGTCTTAACAGAGCCTCTCAAAAAAGTCTTTGACTACCTTCCTGGAATGTGGACTAAGAGGGTATTGGTGGAGGGTGGAAGGGAATCTTTCTTTGACTCCACTCCAGGAGGGCCTTTCTCTGTGAGTTTAGGCAGATCTACCTGCTGTGCTGCCTGTAGTTAAATCACCCTAACATCTCTCTCCCCAGGTTCGGCCCAATAACTATAGCACCTTTTATGATGACCAGAGACAGAACTGGTCCATTATGTTTGAGTCAGAAAAGGCCGCTGTGGAATTCAATAAACAGGTAATACCATCTTAATCTTCTTGGAAAAGCTGAATATGTGTCTGGATTTCCATGATTTTGGGGAAATATATGGAAAACTCAAAGAGCTATATTTTGTTAGTGACAAGTATAAAAAACCCACTAAATTGGTCACTTGAACCTCTTGTATTTCAGGGAAATAATAGTAATACTGAAATTGCTTGGGAATGAGACTAACAGAAAAAAAGTATAAACTTAAAATACCACTCCATAAATTCTCTTATAGAATAAATGAAACTGTCTTTGAAAAATGGTGTTCTAAAAATATTTTAAAAAGTTATGTGATCATTTTAGAAAATTTAGAAAAGCATTAAAAAATCATAATCTTTCTACCCTACCAGGGTTAACATGCTTCTTTTTTTCTATGCGGAAATGCCTTTTGACATTTTTTAGAAGCTCCTTTTTCTTTCCTAAACAATGAAGCTGTAAATCAGTATGGTAATGCTAGTTAACATTTATTGTGTACTTGCTGTTACCTGCCAGGTGCTGTGCCAAATCTATTTATATTAACTCTATCTTCATAACCACCCTAGCAGATATACAAAGATTTTGTTTCTGTTTTGTAATAGCCGTCTGTAAAGTTCACAGATTTTAAGTTATTTGGCTGAAGTCACAAGTTAATAAGTGGCAGGGCCCCATTTGAATCCAGACAGTCTGACTCCACAGCCCTACTCTTATGCACCTTGATTCCTAGCAAAGATTACTGACTTTGGAAATGCTTACTTCTAAATTTGTAATCTGTTTTGTTAGTGGATGCAACTGTTTGATAAATATTATTAGCAATAGTGGAGTAAATACTTACTGAGCTTAAACTAAGTGTATGTGGCTTTGATTTTGTCTTGCAGGTATGCATTGCCAAGTGTAACAGCACTCCTTCCCTGGACGTAGTGCTCTCACAGGACCTCATTGTAACAGAAGGCCCTGCTGTCGAAGTTGGAGATTCTTTGGAAGTAGCTTATACCAGCTGGTTCCTTCAGAATCACGTGCTGGGCCAGGTTAGAAAATGTACTCTGCACATTCTTTCATAATTTAAGTGGCATAAGAGCTATTCAAATGTAAGGTATTGCTTGAATGCCTGCTGTTGTTCAACAGAAATCTTTTAGGAGCCCTGCTTTAGTCACTAGACTGCTTTGGGTCTATACTCATGAAATGCTAATGTATAAGATCTGCTTGGTACCTTTTGTTTCTTTTATTTATCGAAAATGGAAACTAGTTTCCCAAGTATTACTTTTGGAAACTGTGTATGTCTTGCTAAACTTGTATATATTCTTGTGGAATTATACTTTTTAGACCTTCGTCACAGTTGATTCTCTGTTTTTCATAGGGTAGATACTAAATAGGTTGGGTTAATTGTGTTTTAATATGACTAAGCATTCAAAGGTAGTGTGATGATAGAAAGAACTTAGGGTATGAGTCAAAAAAATGTGGGTTCAGGACCTCCCTGGTGGCGCAGGGGTTAAAAACAGTGCTATCAAGCCATCGCCAGCCACTGCAGCATGAGAGTGAGTGTGATAACTCCCTTTAGCCTCAACATGGTCCTGTCTTTTCAGGTTTTTTAAGAACTATTTTCCTAGTGTGTTTGACATTCTTTATGCCAGAGGTACTATGCTGGTATGTAGAAAATGACAATCATAATGATTATTAATATTATTTTTGAAATTGACTGATCTTATTTACTTTGATCCAATTGCAGGTTTTTGATTCTACTGCTAACAAAGATAAGTTGCTTCGTCTGAAATTAGGATCAGGAAAAGTCATCAAGGTAGATGCTTAAAGGTGTTCTTATTTGTTTATTGGTTGTAATAAACTTAATTTAGATTAAACTTTGTAAAAATTTCTAACCTGGATATCTTTGGTTTGGTTAAAAGATTGGAGGAGAAAAATGCATTTGGGAGACTTTTGCCTATCAGATAATAATAAATTGAAGATGGGTACATTTCTTTTCTCTAGCCCCTACCCTTGGATTTTCTCCTTGTGACTATAATGAAATTATTAGATCCTTCCTATAGCCTATTAGAGGAAGAGGTGATACAGATTCTTCTAGAAGTCTTATCACAGTGGGTGCTTCTCACCTGATTAGTATACAGTGAACCAGCATTTCCCAAACTTTGTGGGAGGCATAACAGGAGGAAAATTGGGATTGGAGACCAAGGACCTGGGTTCAGGTTGTGAATTTTTTCTTTATCAACTGTGTATCTTGTAAAATATAGAGCATTTTATTGTATGAGCACACGTTGATGCATACTGAAGTACTCATTCATCCATGTGGCATAAAGGTTTTCACTGTGCCTTTGGTTATAACTCATTTTTCCCAGATTCATTTGGAGGCTTTTTTCTATTGCCCATAGCAATTAAGGCTAGTTGTAGTGTTGAGTCCTGACTTAACAAGTTACTGTGATCTTGGGCTAGTTATCTAATCTCCCCAACCTCAGTTTTCTCATCCCTAAAGTCGGGGTGATGCTGTTAACCTTATGAGGTTATTTTGGGATTAAGCAACATAATGCAAGTAAAACATTTGCCATTTAGAAAAATGTGTTTAGAAAATGGTAGTTCATTTCATTTTAATGCCATTCTTCTATTCCCCCCGCCCTGATTTTCTTATATTATCTAAGATAAGTATATTTCAACCACCCCTATTTATGCCTTTTTTTACAATGAATTTAAATGCAGTATTCTAGATAATATAATTAATGGAAGTGAGAGAGTTGAATTTGATCTCCCTCCATTGGTACAAACCTGAAAGTGTATGAATGAAACCTGATGATCCTGTACTTTTGTTTGTCTTATAAAGAGTGTGTGTCTGATGAGCTTTCCCCTTCTCTGATTCCTAAAGGGCTGGGAGGATGGAATGCTAGGCATGAAAAAAGGAGGGAAGCGGCTGCTTATCATCCCTCCAGCCTGTGCTGTTGGCTCTGAGGGAGTAATAGGATGGACTCCATCAACAGACTCAGTCCTGGTGTTTGAGGTGGAGATTAAGCGGGTGAGTGAAATTGTGCTGTGTTGTATTGATGAGTCCTTTTAGTTAGTTTAGTATAATGAATAAATAAATATATTACAACCAGGTTTGAAGACATATTTGTTGGCTTGTTTGTTTTTAAGTAGAAGTGTTATAGTTGGAAAGAACAACAGCTTTGGAATCTAAGGTCCAAGGTTTATGTCCTTCCTGGCTCTGTTCAGAGTCTTTAGTGGTTGTGACCAAGCAAATTCTGCAAAATGGTGTTTCCTGCCAAATGTACATACCTTTTGACATAGTAATTCCATGGCTACAAATTTATTCTATCACTATATTCATGTTAAGTATACAAATAAATCAATAAGGTAGGTAGGTAGATAGACAGATAGGCATGCAGGCAGACATAGTTTCTCCCTCTGTCACATTATTTTTATTTTTTTAAAGATTTATTTATTTACTTATTTATTTATTTATATAAGCACTGGGTACAGTCAGAAGCATGGGAGAGTAACAATTCACCAGAGCCAGAGCAGGGAACAGAACAGGCAGATTGATGAAATACACTGCTGAGGGGAGCAGCAGGTGCGTGGCAGGAGCGGTCTGCGCGCCATGTGGGACTCTCGCTGGCGGCCAGGGATCGAACCGGCGCTGCAGAGGCTGTGGGCAGCTTTGCAGCCCAGTGCTCAACTGCTGCGCCACCGGGGAGGCCCATGCCACGTTATTTTTAATATTAGAAAGCTGGAAACATCCTAAGTGTCCATCAATAAGAAACTGTTAAATTATGATTTTTTTCATAGAGTATACTTTTATGTAGCTCTTAGAGAATATCCAAAACCTAGTAAGGGAAAGACGTTAAGTTACAAAACAATGTAGATAGTAGTCTCATGTGTATATCTGTATACAAACACATATACACACATCCATATACATGAACTTGTACAAACATGTACATAAAATACGTAGAGAGACACTTATAAATACACATTTATGCCTATGCATTTATAAAAATTTCTGGAAATATTCAAAGAAATGATTCAAAGCATTTTCTTTGAAGAATGGAGATGGAGTTTAGAAGCTTTGACTTTTTTATACTCTACATTCATATACCATTTAAAAACTATCATAAATATATATAATTTCCATAAGAAAAATTATAACTGTGGTTAATTAACATTACATACCACCCCACAGATAATGTATGTATGAAATAGTATACCCACACTTCCAACATTGTCATTGCCGATTAAACTTAATACAGTGGGGCCTCCCTGGTGGCGCAGAGGTTAAATCTCAGCACAATGAAGCTATCAGCAACCACTGCAGCATGAGTTAGATCACCAGGCAGGAAGCTTCCCACATCGTGGAGCAGACCTCTCTTGTCTTGCCTGTTGCTCCCTTCAGCAGTGTATTTCGTCAGTCTGCCTGTTCTGTTCCCCGCTCTGGCTCTGGTGAATTCTCTCATCCTCCTGCGCTTCTGACTGTACCCAGTGCTTGTATAAATAAATAAATCTTTAAAAATAAATAAATAAAAGATTTATTTATTTATGCATACAAGAGCTGGGATACAGGCCAGAGATGCGGAGGGCGAGAGGATTCACCAGAGACAGAGTGGGGAACAGACCAGGCAGACTGACTAAAATACACTGCTGAGGGGAGCAGCAGACGAGACAGAGGAGAGGTCTGCCTCACCATGTGGATTGCTCCCTGGCTGGCCAGGCATCGAACTCAGAGGCTCTGAGCACTTGGCCTTGACTGTCAGGATTCTGAAAAGAGAAGAAAGTCACAAAAAAAAAAAAAAAAAAAAATCACTGTAATCAGGTTCCTTACCTTCAATAAGCTCTACCCCTTTGGATCTTGGTTTAAAGATCCAAAGCCTCTGATCTGTGCTCAGAGGCTACGGATTTTTTCATAGTGCTCTGCTTAACCCCTTGCGCCACCAGGGAGGCCCTATCTACTTTTTGATTTGCCTGCAATGAACAAGTAATAACTTGTGTAATGAAGAGTATGTAAAATGAAAGGCAGATTGAGCGGAGGGTGCCTTTTGGTAGCCCATTCCCCTGTGCTTCATCTTTCCCAGGTGAAGTTAACTAAAGAGTGTGCCTCTGAAGGACACAGTGTCAGTTCCCAGAATTCTGCGGCCCCTTCTCCGGTCCCTAGTGCTGACGGCCTCTCTGCTGATCCTGCTGTGTCACCTTCCACATCGGTGCCTTTTAAATCAGGGTAAGATGCTGACTCATGTCAGGCTCTTTTATTACCCATAAAAAGATTCCTAGAGGATTTCAAAAATACAATATAGTTAGAAACTCATTTTAAATAACTGGGAAATATGGAATGAAAGAAATGAGGAAAATATTTTTATTAGATTTTTCTGACTAGAGAATTAATGCTCATAGACTATAAAACTTCTAACTCAGTTATTAAGAATACTTGCCACACTCTGGAAGAAAGTTGAGCAGAGGGCATAAATACAAATATATATCCAAGGGAAAACACATGAATAATAAGCATTTGGGTGGAAAATTGTTAATTCTCACTAGTATTCAAGGATTATACAACTTAGGAAGAGTTAAAATACTGTTCCACAGCCATTATGGCAAACTGTTAAAAGACGATTTAAAAGTTTGTTCAGTATAACCTGGATTCATGGTTATGGATTGTTTTCATCTCAGGGTGTATATTCTTTGCTTTCAGCGAGCCAGCTCTTCGTACCAAATCTAATTCCCTCAGTGAACAGCTTACAGTAAGTACAGTGAGTATGTGAGTCTGTCTTCCTCACCCCCAGTTTTTTAAAATGGTTTCATAAGCCTCAGGTATGGTAGGTTAGAGGGGGGAAAATCTGGGAACTAATGGGTTGGCTAGAAATCAGTCTTTATTCATTTCCCCTTCCTTGAAAGTCACCACAAATTAGCTTCCTGGGTACAGGCCTTTATTCTTATAATGTGGCCTTGAGAAAATTGTCTAACTTATCTGAAACATCACTAGAGTGAAACTGATGATTAATTTCTCCCCACCCATAGTTATTTGTTTGCATTCAACCCAAAGAAGAAATTACTAAACAAATAATTGATCTGCTGTGTGTAAAAAGTGATCTTTAAGCCCAGAAGATTAAGGTAAAGAATAAAAAAAAAATTGAAAATCATTTATAATCTCAGATCTTCAAACAACCACAAAAATGACCTATTACTGGTTCTGTTGTACTCTCTAGATATTGTTATTCATTTCTAAGCTTCAATTAACTTCTGACAGACTAGTTTCCAACATTTTTTTTATTTTGTTTTTTTTTCCATTGAGGCAAAATTCATATAAAATTAACCATCTTTTGTCCTTTTACACTTAGGTTTTTATTTTTTTGTTGGCACAGTTGAGTCAGGATAGCAAGATACACATTGAGAATACTCACTCCTACCCTGTCCCTGTCCACCCTCTTCATTTCATTCCCCCTTAGGTGCAACCACATTTATTCATTTCTTATGTATATTCTTTCAGTGTTTTTTTTATGCAAATGTAAGCAAACAGGAAGGTCTATTTTATTTTCCCCCTTTCATACACACAGTAGTGTGCTATGTAATAATGTAACTTGTATATTTACATGCTGCAATATATATAACAATATCTTTACATGTTAGCATGTAGAAAACTTAGCTTCCTGGGCCTCCCTGGTAGCCTAGGGGTTAAGTCTCAGGGCTATCACTGCTGTAGCCTGAGTTCAATCCGCAGCCAGGTCACTGACCGTTATGTGACACAGCAGACCTCTCCTGTCTCGCTTGCGGCTTCCCTTCCCTTAGCTGTGTATTTCAGTAAACCCTTCTGTTCTACTCCCACTCTGTCTCTGGTGAATCATCTCACCCCCCTGTACCTCTGGCCTATACCCCAGTTCTTCTATGCAAAAATAACATTTAAAAAAAGAAGCAAGCAAGCTTAGCTTCCTTATATATTTTTTATCTCTGGATCACAACATTTCATTGCGTCCTTTTCATAAACTCAACTGTTTTTTTTTTTCTTTTTTTTCTTTTTTTCTTTTAAACTCAACTGTTTTTGATGTGTGTCTCCATTAGGGAAAAACAAGCACCCACTCCCAGTATATGTACTTCGAGTAGATAAAGTACTCTCAATCCCTGTAAATAAGCTTAATGACTTATGATTGCCTAGAAGTAATTTAAAAGTAGAGGTTGTGATTCTTGCTAAACCAAATAGATCATGGACTACCTCAGAGGTATGTGTTCTCTGTTCTGAGGGTGGACTTTTTTTTTTTTCCCTTATATATTTGTTGAAGTGGTGAGACCACATTTCTATACAATTTAAAAAAGAAACCTTCTGGAGTTCAGATGTTGAAGACTGCACTTTGGACCAGTTAGTGGATGCCTAGGCTTCTGCACAGAAGCTAGTGTTACAGAGTAGCAGTAACTCTGACTACTTAGTCAGAGTTAAGTGAACCTGAATTTAAAGCAAAGATCTCCTTTTTCTCTCTCCAAATCTTTTTTGAATGTTGTTGAGAAAGGTACTATCATCTAAACTGTTTCCCTCCTTTAATCTGTACTTTAGTTTTTCATCTGTAAAATGAGAATACTTATACCTGGTAGGGAGACTTGACTGAAATGAAGTAGCTTATAGGAAGCCACTTTGTCCCTTTCCAAACATATAGGGAATTACTTTTACTACTATTGTTGTGACCCATGTATGCTTGTAGGAAAGAAATCTTTAATTCTCATTTTCTAGAATATATGGCAGAGGATTTAAACCAAGATCCAAAGGGGTAGAGCTGATTGAAGGTAAGGAACCTGATTACAGTGATTTTTTTTTTTTTTTTTTTTGTGACTTTCTTCTCTTTTCAGAATCCTGACACAGTCAAGGCCAAGTTGATCTCTCGGATGGCCAAAATGGGTCAGCCCATGTTACCCATTCTCCCACCACAGCTGGATTCCAATGATTCAGAAACTGAAGTATGTCCCTTTGCTGTATTAGAATAAACAGTGCATATGTTGCTATCTTCTGTACCTTTGGTTGAAATTAATTTTTCTGCCTCTGATCCAGAATCACAATAAAGAGAACTTATATTCAAAATGATACAGTTGGGTGGGAATTGTTACTTAGAGCCTATATTAAACTTTACAGATTGGTGGTGTTGGTACATGTATTTCTCCTGTAACTAGGAGATAAGGAGGCAATTCCATACATCAGCCACAAGAACTGGGAAGTTTGAAGTTGATTTTAGATACTGACAACAGTATCTAAAAATTCCTTTTCAGGCAACATGGTGCTCAATTCATATTTATTTATTGACTGTTTAGATCCTTTTGGGAAATATTGATATTCCCACTGATATTACTAAAGATTACACTGACAGAGCATATGGACTTTGTATGTGGTGTGATTTTTTTTTTTGAAGTACAGGAATTTTGTTATAATCAAATCTGTATGTTTCTTAAACTTTTTCATCTTTACAGCTAAAACAATTCATCAGGAATTTGGTATATGATATGAGTAGCTTAATTATGAGTTAATTTTTTCCCCATAGGTTTGCTCTTTATTAAATAGAACTACCCTTTAGCAACTTAATTAGAGCACATTGATTTTTAAGATTCTTTCACTTTGATGTAAAAAAAGCAAATGTGATGTTCTTGAGAAAGATAGGCTTTATTTTTCACAATTTTGTTTTATTTCTTCTTGGAATAATCCAAAGTAGATTAATTTAAAAATTTTAAACAGGATAGGATTTCTGGGACCTGTTGTCACAGTATTTTTTATCTGGCTTCTGAAAATGAGATTTAGATAAGATAATAATTCTTATAAAAAAATATAAGTCCTTCTTATTCATTATAGAATCATTTAAATTATAAATAAAAACATTTAATAAAAAGATCAGTTTCACAGAAATGCATAGTACATTTCTAAAGATATCAAGAAACAAGGGGAATTTCTAAAGTATAAATATCAGAGGTTTTTTTTATTTTTTAAGATTTATTTATTTATGCGTGCAAGAGCTGGGGTACAGGCCAGAGATGTGGGAGGTGAGAGGATTCACCAGAGACAGAGCGGGGAACAGAACAGGCAGACTGACTGAAATACACTGCTGAGGGGAGCAGTGGACGAGGCAGGAGAGGTCTGCTGCACCATGTGGGTTGCTCCCTGGCTGGCCGGGGATCGAACTCGTACTGCAGAGGCTGCAGATTGCTTCATAGTGCGGTGTTTAACCCACCACCAGGGAGGCCCATATCAGAGATTTTAGTCCTTGAACTGTAGCATAGCAGATTATAATCAATGTATATTGTGCCTAGAGATTTTCTTTTCCTTTCATGAATTGGGAAGATGTTTGTAGAATAACTTTGTTTAGAATTACAGTAGGGAGCACAGCTCATTGATTTTCTTAAAAAAGAAAAAAAGAATAGGGGGAAAACACCAAAACTAGATTATCCAAAAACAGCGTGGTTATAAGGCACAGGGAATCCTACTCTTACCCGATTTTCATTGAAAACCTGGAGATTATTGTACCTGGGGCACTTGAAGATTATTTGTACCTGGAATATCTGTAGATTATTTGTACCTGGAGTACCTGGAGATTATTTAGCAGAGGAGGAAAGTCTAGATGATTTCTGGGGATTCTCTGCAAGAGAGTTCTCTTCTGTGGGAACAGATTAGGTTCATTTTAAGGTAGCTACCGAGCTGGAAAATGACACATTCTGAAGAACAGTGTAGCTGCTTCAGACAACAAAGCATCAACAACTTACAATCCTTAAGGAAATCAACTATTTCATAAGAAATTTCATTTGCTATGATTTGCAGGGAAGAGGGGGCTTAATCTGTTACAAAATGAATTGGTCTCTGCCCATAACCCTCCCCCTAAACTCTTGCCTTTCTGCTTGCCTTTTCTTCCTCCTCTTTGCCTAAATCACTGTAAGCAGATTTAGGGTGGACATGCAACCTCAGGCTTTGATTAAGGACTGATATACCTAGTAACCAAAAGTGATGCTTGGGCCTGTTTCAGGATATGAATGCTCTTCGAGGAGCCGGGCAGCCCCTAGCTACTCCGTCTCTCCAGCCCTCTCTTCAGCCAGTCCATCCAGTTTTACCACAGATGACTTCACAAGGTAAGTGGAACTCTTTGAGCCTCTGGGGCCTTGAATTGAGTCAGCACCAACGATACCATCACTGTTCCTTCAATTGTTAAGCAGCATTGTTTTAGTATTGAGAACTGAACTAGTGTGCAAAACTTGTCCATTTGGCCCTGGGTGGGGCATTTTCAGATGTGGAGATATAGCTGGTCTGCTCGCTGTAGTGCATTGTCAGTTTTGGAAATCTGCACTCAGCTAATGAGACCTCTCCCTGTGTGTAGTTCTGTACTTCCTGTCAGCTCATGGGATCACAGGACTTAGTCAGATGAACCCCAGAATACCCCATTTCCTCCCACTGACCCATTGTGAGGTCTCCAGTAGAGTTGGTTTTAGGAGACTGAGGAAATTGGTCAAGTTTGGAGTGTGTTGAAGCGAAGATGCTGGTCCAGACTCTTACCAGAAGCAAGGAATGGGTAATAGGGACAACTTTTTGCTTTGTCTTAGCACCTCAGCCACCTGTTTCTGGGCTCCAAACACCCTCTGCTGCCTTAATGGCCATCGCACCTCTCGATTCCCACCCAGCTGTATCTGGAAATACCCAGTCCTTTCAGGTAACCTTTTAAAACCATATCTGTTATAAAGCTATAATTTATTGTAGTTCTAGGCTGTCTCTTCTTTCTGTACAATTCATAGAATACCAATTTCCCACATTCAAAGTTTATAATTTTTCCCCTTCCTAAAACATCCCTTCTCCATCTTTTTAACCAAGCAAAGAATTTTCTGCCTTATAGGCTGTTGTAAAGACTGAATGCAGGGGGCCTCCCCGGTGGCGCAGTGGTTGAGCCCTGGGTTGCGAAGCTGCCCGCGGCCTTTGCAGCGCCGGTTCGATCCCCGGCTGCTCCCCAGCCACTGGAGGAGGGTCCCACATGGCACGCAGACTTCTCCTGCCGCCCGCTGCTCCCCTCAGCAGTGTACTTCGGTCCTTCTCCCTGCTCTGCTCCCTGCTCTGGCTCTGGTGAAATCTCTCACCTTCCCGTGCTTCTGACTATACCCAGTGCTTGTATAAAATAAATAAAAATAAATCTTTAAAAAAAAAAAAAAGACTGAATGCAGGAACAAGCAAAGCACCTGGTGTAAGACTTGGCACACAGAAAAGGCCCAATCAGTGCTTATCTCCTCTTCTCACACTTGTCTAGTTGAGGGGTATAGTCACGTTTTCTGTATACTTCTGTGTTCACAGAGCTGATGGGCTAAGATTCTGCACTAAAATCAGCAGAAGAGTTCTGGGTTGAGATGGAGACTCTGGAAAATACAGCTGGGCTTTGCTCTCTAGTTACAGGTTTTCCTACTATCCGAAAGTTGAGTGTTCCTATTTGGTATGATTTAGTAGGTTGGTTATTTTTGTTTTACAGCTGAGGTGAGCAAGGTTCAAAGGGTATTGAGAGCTCTTGGTCACCCATATATGCATACAAGAATCTAGCAGAGAAAGGTATCCTTTAGCAACAGGCAGCTTTAGTTTGAAAACTCAGTAAACACTTTCCTTTTACCTCAGCGGAAACTAAGCAGAGTTTGCTTAGTATTAAAATTTCTTAATACCTGCTTAATTAAGTCATTCCACCAGAGGACTGTGTAGTGACCTGAGACACCTTTCCCTCGCTTTTTGAGTAGGACTTCAGTGACCAGGTACCACTGGGTTACGCAGGTAACTCTCCTACTGCTTTTCTTAGTACTGAGCTCCAGTTGCATTCATTTCCAACTTCAATAAGTTTGAGTCTCCTTTTGAGTATCCACTTTATTCATCCAAGACAAAACAGAAAAGATGTGACTGTTTTATAAACCAGCTATAACTTGGCATTTTCTCAGCCCTATGCAGGTTTGCCAGCTTATGCTTATCCCCAGGCATCTGCAGTCACCTCGCAGCTGCAGCCCGTGCGGCCCTTGTACCCTGCGTCTCTCTCTCAGGCACCTCATTTTCAAGGTAGGAAGCAATCCCCTCAGCTTCTCATCTTCCACTCTTGCTATGCTCTCCTTCCTCCCCTCTGTTTTTCATTTATATTCCAATAGTTCTGTACCCTATTTTTCTTTTTTAAACAGCTTTGTGGAAATATCACACATATCATATGATCCACTCATCCTAAGTGTACAAATAAGGACTTTTAGTAAGTTTATAGACTTGCACAATCTTCACCACAGTCCAACTTTAGAACACTTGTTATTCCCCTCAAACCACTCATGCCACTTTCTGTGTTGTTTCTTGAATTTTCTCCTGCCAAGTTTTTTAGTCTTCTGTCAGCATGGTTAGAGTTTATAGAAGATAATAAATGAGGGCCTCCCTGGTGGCTCAAGGGGTTAAGCATTGCACTATAAGGCAGTTTGCAGCTTCTGCAGCAAGAGTTCGAAGAACCCTGGCCAGCCAGGGAGCAGCCCACATGGCACAGCAGACCTTTCCTGTCTCACCTGCTGCAGTGTATTTCAGTCAGTCTGCCTGTTCTATTCCCCACTCTGTCTCTGGTGAATCCTCTCACCCTCCATATCTCTGGCCTGTACCCCAGCTCTTGTATGCATAAATAAATCTTTTTTAAAAAAAGATAATAAATGAGTGAAACGTGGGAGGAAATTAGGAAAAAGCAAGATGACTGTTGGTGGGTGTTCAGTGTCGTAACTGAAAGCTGTTTTTAAAAATTTTGTTTCATTATGAAAATAATGTGTTATAAAAAAAGTAAAATATTATAAAAGGGTATAAAGTGAGAAGTTACTGTCCTCCATCATGGAAACCCCTGACCATAGGAAGCTGTTGTAAACAGTTCACAAATCTTGTGTGCAAGTACAAGTAGTTATCTTGTGTAAAAAACCAAAACAAAATAAATATAAGCAGCTGGGGTAGAGCCCCGCCTTATTATTCTGAAATTTGTCTTTTGCTCATTTATCCTTCCTGGTGTTAGGACAGTGGTAGGAATAGCAACTATACCCTACTATATAATTTGTGGTTCCTTGAATGAGCGTTCCTTGAATGTAGCCTTTGTCTGGAAGCCCTGTTTCTCTTCCATGGGGGAAACCATCAGATCTGCCATCTGTCTCCTCTGCGAAGCCTTTCCTGATTGTGTCCATACCGCCCTCTCACCTCCCAGCCACCTAACTGGTATTTGTGTCACCAAAGAGTAAATCTTGCTTTTCTCTGTGCTCCTCTTGTATCTTGTCCATTTTTTGCACTTTAAACACTCTTTTGTAATGATCTGTTACTATATGGGTTTCCCCACCAGACGGAGCTGGCCAAGAGCAGAAAACTGTTTTATTCTTTGCTGTATTCCTGGCATCTGGTATAATGCCTGGCATGTAGTTGGATAAATGGGAAGCAATCGAGCTGCTAGTGCCAAGGCAGGCCAAAGTGGGCACAGTGGTGCCCTTGGACCAGACTGTAGCCCTTGCTATATCTTGCGAAGCACAGCTAGTTATTACCAATTTTGCAAGCCCTTTTATCTCCTTTTCCACATTGTCTCCTGACTGTGAATCACCCATAGCACTTCCTACTATCTGAAAGTGTTGATTTCCTTCTTTCCTCTTCTGAAAGAGCTATTGGCATTTCCCCATGCAGTATTCTCTGCTCCAGTTTCCTAAGTTTCTTTTTGACTTATGTCTGTTTAGGATCTGGTGACATGGCTTCATTTCTCATGACTGAAGCCCGGCAACATAACACTGAAATTCGAATGGCAGTAAGCAAAGTGGCTGATAAAATGGATCATCTCATGACTAAGGTGACGGAGTGAAGGGTCCGGAATAGGTGGAAAGTGGGGGTTCTGACGGGGTACAAAATGGGACAGCCGAGGTTATAGATCTGTTTTTCCTTGGCTTCCCGTGTTCACAGTGTTTAATAGTTACTTCTCTAAAAGGATAGTTACTATCTTGGGATCCAGTTAGTGGAAAAGTTGAGCTTTCTATAGAGAATCTCAAAAACTCATCATCCCCTTCAAAAAGAGTGGTCAAATACTGGGTAAATTCTGTTTCTCCACTTAAAGATTTCTCATCAGGTCTTTTGGGCATCACTTTCATAGGTTGACGAGTTACAGAAGCACAGTACTGGCAATTCCCTGCTCATTCCTAGCATGTCAGTTACCATGGAAACAAGCATGATTATGAGCAACATCCAGCGAATTATTCAGGTGAGGGGTGTGGGAACAGAGCACTCAGTCTGGAAGTCTGCCCAGGCTCCTTCCCCAAATGCACTGCCCTTCAAACATTTACTCCAGAAGCAGAGAGTGTGTGATAAACATGACACTGAGTTAAGAAATTCTGGACAATCTGTTATTGCTTAATTTGGCTCAAGTGACTCTCACTGTGTAGTCAGGACACTTTTTTGGACCATATTTTAGAATTTTGCTTCATTTTAAAGCGTTAATATGCTGAGTCCATTGAACATAATGATTTGTAGCCATGAAGTATTATTTGATGTGTTGGTGTAAGTATTCTCTGCATGTGGTCCTTTATTAGTTTAGTCTAGTTTTTCATCTAAAACAAAATTGTGTCACCTGTTGATTCCACTTTACCTGGCACGCCTCTCTTAAATTTGTGTATTTTGAATTTAGGAAAATGAAAGATTAAAGCAAGAAATCCTTGAGAAGAGCAGTCGGATAGAAGAACAAAATGACAAGATTAGTGAACTAATTGAACGAAATCAGAGGTAATGACAGGTACGGGGCACTGGCTCGGATGGACAAAATGCCCAAGTTAATGGACATGTTTGTTTAGGGCACTTTATTTGTATTGTGTTGCTTTTTTCCCGACTATCACGTGAATGATTGCTTTTCTGAGAGACATTTCAGTAAAAACTCGGTAGGCTGTGATGTAAGGCAGACCTGTGTTTGATTTCTGGCTTGCTGTACTTTTTGTGTACTTTGCATTTTTTTTTATTTATTCCTTCTGGCCCTAGTTTTCTTATCTGTAAAAGTGGTATTAATACTTAAAAATCTGTGGTGCCAACTGTTCTCTCTTCTGTGTGTATGATTTTATCAACCAGAATGTCTAATTGTCATGTAAATCCCAATTTTGTAATTCTTTATATTCTTCCAAAGATTTGGAGGGCCCAGAGGAACATATCACAGTATATAGAAGTTTACTTTAAAAATTATATCTCAGCTCTGGTGTCTCTTTCCACATTTTGGGGTGGCAATGGGGGAAGGAAGCCACCTTGCAGTCTTCCTAATTTTCTCTTTTCTCATTCCTTTTCACCACCCACCCTTCAATTCCACTCCTCTTCACCGAAATTCAAAGCCTTCACCTCTGTTCCAAGATTTTCTTCCAGACACAATTAGCACAAATCTAAGGAAAGTAAATGCTTTCAGACTTTTTGCTGAAGGTGTAGAGCCATGTTGTAAGGACAGAATGTGTGGGGTTGTGCCTGCTTTACATGCTGTGCTTGATCAGTAGTTTCCCCTATTTATCTCACAGATATGTTGAGCAGAGCAACCTTATGATGGAGAAGAGGAACAACTCACTTCAAACAGCCACAGAAAACACACAGGCAAGAGTATTGCATGCTGAGCAAGAGAAGGTAAAGTCTCTGGGGAGAGAAGAGCCCAGGCCAGGATGTATAGAGCTGAGGAGGGCTCGTCGGTGTGTACTCACCAACCTACTTCTTAGCAGACTTTTTGCCATCGTGAGGAAAAGAAACTAGAAATCTTCCAGCAGATTTTGAGACATCTGCCATCCAGGTTTCCATTTTATTGTATGCTTTGCATTGAGTTGACCCCAAAACTTTCACAGATCTTAGTAATTTAATTAAAGTAAAAACTACACAACTTACTAGAAACTGAAGTTACTCTGTTGACAGAATCACCAGAAAACTCCTTCTATGCAATGTATGTATTTAGTGAAAACAAATATTTTTAGTGAAATCTGAGATTGTTTATAGTTTGCTTCTTCATCTGTGTTTAGTTCCCTTCTTCATCTGTGTCTGCTAAAGCATTTTGAAGTACCTCTGTGTGACTTCAGTCAGTTCAGAACTAGGAATTTTGACCTATAATCCTTGCCTGTAGTCCTCTAAGGAAGACTGAAGTGTCCTGGTTGGAATCGATTAATTCTGAAGCCCACTCCTGTTCTTACTCCGGTGACACCTTTTATCCAGAATGGATTCCTTCTTGTTTGAGCTACTGCCCCTTAGCTAGAAGGAGATCTTGACCCTTTCATCTGAGCTTTGTTCAAAGGTTAAGAAATCATTAACGGGCCTCCCTGGTGGTGCAGCGGTTGAGCCCTGGGTTGCGAAGCTGCCCACAGCCTCTGCAGCGCTGGTTCGATCCCCAGCTGCTCCCCAGCCGCCAGAGGAGGATCCCACATGGCGCAGAGACCTCTCCTGCTGCCCGCTGCTCCTCTCAGCAGTGTACTTCGGTCCTTCTGCCTGCTCTGCTCCCCGCTCTGGCTCTGGTGAATTCTCTCACACTCCTGCACTTCTGACTGTACCCAGTGCTTATATAAATAAATCTTAAAAAAAAAAAAAAGAAATCATTAACATTTTGAGTTTTTCTTGAAAACATGAAAAGCTGACCAGAATATTTATAATATGTGGAGTTTACTCACTTTATCATATTCTGACAATATGATGATGTCTTCCTTATGTCTTATGCTCTTGTTCTTTGTGTTGTCTTAGCCAGCATATCCAGGGGTATCTGTGAGCCCTTATCCTCTGGCAGCAGTACTCTGTGCTGCACAGCCCTGCCCACCTCTAGCCCTGCCTCTGTCCCCTGCTTCTGTCCTGCTGCTCTTTTCACCATTGCTTGCTGTGACTGCCCCAATAGCAGCCTGTGACATTGCCCTAGAGTTATCCCACCAGTCCCCTCTAAATGTCCTTCTGTTTCTCCTTTCTCTGTTCTTTAACAGGGTCAACAGATGTATTGTTCAGCATGGCAGTCACTATTCAGGTCTAAAATGACCAAATTTTTAGGTCAAACTCACTTGGGGAGCTTGATTAAAAATGTTTTCTTAAATTCCCCCTCCAGAGATTCTACTTCAGGGTATCTAGCTGAGGGGCCCTAAAACAATTTTTAAAAAGCTTCCCTTGATTCTGATATGCCGCCTGGGAGAAGTTCAGCTCTCCTCAGTGGTTTCTTGTTACAATCTCTGGCAGAGGTACCTGGACACCTGTTTTTCAGTAAATTCACCATGTGACTCTCGTAGATCAGTGGCATCTGTGTGTGTGTTCTGTTTAAACTTCATTGGTATAAATAAGCAGGAGGTCAGTTTGACCTGCAGGTCAGTGCTTGCTCACCGCTGAATTAACTTACTGATCCACTGAAATGTTTCATTTTGTTTAACTCCAGAATAGCTTATATAGTACATTGAACCCTGCAGATGCGCTCTCTTAAATGGCCAAAACAGTAGTAATAACAACAACAGTTAACAACTGACATCGGTCAAATACTCATGAGGCCTTAAGCACTGGGCTTTCTTTACCACATCTGTTTGGGGAATCTGCTGAGTGTCACTGTTTTGAAGGGTCAGGTACTGAGTACCGCATACTTCACGTGGTCACCTTTTTTATTTTGAAGATATTTATTTTACTTATTTACAAGAACTGGGGTGTTGGTCAGAGGTGCAGCGGGTAAGAGGATTCACCAGAGACAGAGTGGGGAGCAGAACAGGTGGATCTACTGACATACACTGCTGAGGGGAGCACCCGGCAAGACAGAAGAGGTCTGCTGCAACATGTGGGTCAGCTCCCTGGCCAGAGATTGAACTCATGCCACAGTGGCTTGCGATAGCTTGATAGCCTGAGACTTTAACCCCTGCTCCACCAGGGAGGCCCTGTATACAATTTTTAATTGCTTTATTTCCCTTACCTTTAGGAGATCCAAAGTATTTGATTTTTTTTAAAGATTTATTTATTTATGCATACAAGAATTGGGGTGCAGGCCAGAGGTGTGGGGGGTAAAAGGATTCACCAGAGACAGAGGTGGGAACAGAACAGGCAGATTGACTGAAATACACTGCTGAGGGGAGCAGTGGGCAAGTCAGGAGAGGTGTGTTGCTCCACGTGGGTAGCTCTCTGGCCGGGGATTGAACTCATGCTGCAGTGGCTGCAGATAGCTTCACAGGTTACGTCTTAACCCCTTGCACCACCAGGGAGTCCCCAAAGTTTTGATTTTAAATGAAAGCTATAAAACTGATGAAGTTTTTGAATAAGTATTAAACTGAGATTGGCACAGTGAGTACTGTAAGGAACAAGTGATAATAGACAACTGTAAAAATCCATGTAAAGTATCATAGAGATAGTAGCACAGTGTACCTGTCTGTGAAATTAACTCCATAAAGATGTTGCTGTCCAAAAGTCAAAAATGGTCATCAGCAGGGCAACCATTCACTGCCTTTCCTGTCATCTGATTTCTCATTTCTGTTTTGAACATGGTATTTGTCACTTGTTTACCATTCCTTTTTGTTGGCCATCCTTTTAATTATCATCATCACCAACACCGGTAATGCCCAGAATATCACTCTGGGGTTTTCCAAAGTCATCAGTTAGATTTCATCAGATGTTATTTGGGAATGTTTAACTGCTATTTGGCTATTACAGGGCACCAAGTACAACATATTGAGCAGTCAAAGAAGTTGAAGTGTTCTCTTCTTTTATTAGCTTTGTTCTTCCAGGAACCCCCAAAGCTGTCCTCATGTGACCCATCTTTACATTACAAGACTAATAATGGTACAGTACTACTAGGGAGAAATTATAGGCTCAGAAGTTGACTGCTGTTGAAGGCATCCAATCTATACTTTAAAAATATCCCTCTCTTATTAGAAAATACATGTTTATTGTAATAAAGTTAGAAAATGGTAGGAATACCATTTCTCATGCATCAGCTTGGTAAAAATCCAGAACTTGGCAACCACTGGTGAAGCTGGTAGGACTATAGAATGGTTCATGGAGGGGATTTGATGATGTGCAAAATCAGTCACATTTACTAGCTGAAAAGCATCTGGAAACCTGCAGGCACACCTGCACACAAATGACATGACGCGTGTCCAGGATTATGCATCGGTGTCATGTTGTGTAATGGGAACAGGCTGGAAACTATCCAAGTGTCCTGCACTATAAGAATAAACTATGGAACGTTCACATGGTAGGATGCCACAGTACTTTAAAACAGGAAGATCTGCATGTACAAAGAGAGAGTGTATAAAACTCGCCACCTTTTCTATGTGAAAGGGAGAAGTAAGAATCTCATTGGTGTTTATATAATCACTGTAAAGATGAAAAAGTATCACATGGTCACCCCTGTAGGGCATGAGGAGAGGAGTTAGTAGGGATAGGAATAGGGCCAAGACTTCTCATTGTTTACTTCTTTATATCTTTTAAATTTTTGAACAAAAACATTATCTTTTCCCAAAAAATCATGTGCGAGGGCCTCCCCGGTGGCGCAGCGGTTGAGCGCTGGGTTGCGAAGCTGCCCGCAGCCTCTGCAGCGCCAGTTCGATCCCCGGCCACCAGCGAGGATCCCACATGGCGCGCAGACCTCTCCTGCCGCCTGCTGCTCCCCTCAGCAGTGTATTTCGTCATTCTGCCTGTTCTGCTCCCCTCTCTGGCTCTGGTGAATTCTCTCACCCTGCCGTGCTTCTGACTGTACCCAGTGCTTATATAAATAAATAAATCTTTAAAAAAAAAAAAAAAAAGCTTGAGAAAATAAAATAAATCAATAAATTAAAATAATAAAAAATTTAAAAAAAAAATCATGTGCGAAACAGAAGTATATATAAACTGCAATCAAAAGAAAATGTGTGTGTGTATGTGTGTTTATCTCACCCATAGCTCTTTTAGCTAAGTTAGCTATTGCTAGAAATACAGATATCACTCAAACTCTTTTTCCACAAGTGTTTGTTTTGCAAACATGGAATTTATGTATGATTTGAAAATGTTCTTTTAGCAATAGGGTGTGACTGTATCCCATACCACTAAATATTTTTTCACATCACCTTAATAGCTACACACAGAAGGTTTATCATAATTTCCATAAGCCCATTTTTAGCATTTTATTTTTCTGTTCTTTTGCAACTATGGATTGTACTATCTCTTATATCCTCATAGCACAACTTTGGTCATCTTACATAAATTTCCCTAAGGATGAAGTTCTGCAAGGGAATTACTGATTAAAGACTTTGCACATTTCAAAAGTTTGGTTTAATGCAGGTTGAAAGTGGCCCTAGTTCCCTTCCACCCAGGTCTTAGTGTAGAGTACTTGAGGTTGTGTCTTCCCTTAGAGACAGAACACAGGTGTTTAAAGTGACATCATACTTTGCTGCTATCCAGGCGAAGGTGACGGAAGAGTTAGCAGCAGCCACTGCACAAGTGTCTCATCTGCAGCTGAAAATGACAGCTCACCAGAGGAAAGAAACAGAGCTGCAGGTGCAGCTGACAGAGAGCTTGAAGGAGACAGACCTCGTCAGGGGCCAGCTCGCCAAACTGCAGGCAGAGGTCTCAGGTATGTCACCTGTGAAGGGGGCTGGGAGCTTTGCCATTTAAAGTAAGGAATTAAGGTATTTCCTTTCTCTTAATCCACATGGCCTAATCCTCATAAGGTACACAAAGGACTGAGCCAAAAATTAATGTGGACTAGGATAAACCTATATGATTGTTTGACATAAAGGACAATAAAAGATCTGACTATTCATTTAGAGTTGATGGGTGGCCATAGATTGCTTTATTTGGACTGGTGTTGCTGTCAGTATCTTTGGTACTTATGGTTGGCTTCATAGGCTGGGAGGAGTTCATGTGTTCCTCTAATACATGACACAGTGGAACTTGAAGCAGATACTTCCTGTAGTCCTGGCCGCTTTCTTAGAGTCTGGGTTGTAGCTCTGGAGGCTGGCACTCAAGGCCCCTCCTGCTTGACTTATCTCCATACTGTTTCCCAGTTCACCCTGAATGGGTGGTGTGTTGACCAATACCACACAGGCTACTCCCGCTTCAGCACGTCCTGTAGTGCTTCTCTTGCTTTTTATCCATGCTATTCTCTGAGCTTGGCCGCGCCCCTCATCACCAGTATTTGCCTCCGGTTTTTCCAAAGTCTGCCTCTTTGAGAAACTTTCCTGGTTTTGTTCTAGAACATTTGATCTTCTTAAAGTCCTTTAACTCTGGCTGCAGTATTATGGCCATATGGCAGTTAGCCACTGACCAGCACCATTTAGAATGCAACCTCTCTAGAATGCAAGCTCCTGAGGGCAAGGATGGTGTCTTGCCATCTTTGTAAAATCCTTTCCTCCAAATCTGTGCTAGGTAAGTGCCTGGCACAAAGGTGGTGCTCAAGACACTGTGACTCAAATAGAAGCTTCGTGCAGACCAGCCTATTGATTCATGCGTGTTAGTGCACAGACACAAATGTGCTAGAGCAGCAGCAGAGTTGGGAATAGAAGCAAAGTTCACTTGCCTGTTCGAGCAAAAACACACTGATGTCAACTGATAAAGTGGTAGCTTGAGGACAGATCCCTTGCCTTTCAGAGGAGCATCTGGCTCGTGTGAGCAATGATCTTAGATCTGAAAGTCATATGGGTGTTCCCTTTTCTCCTTTTATGGCGCCCTGTGTGACAATTATCTCAAGAAGAACCAAACATTTTCCAAAAAATTTTCGATTCATGGCACTTGTTTAAAAAAGTTCCCCTTAGCTTTATTTGAGAGAAGGAATGTTGAAAGTAAATGGTGGCAGTGTCCCAGCTGCCAAGAAAGTTGAGAATATCTTACCCCAGCAATGAGAAAGGGCCTGGACCAGTTCTAAATAAAGATCAGTCCACTGTGTTGGGATGGTGATGAAAGGGATTTGTGGGTGGTGACACATCTCAAAGGTGGTCTCTGACTGCTTGGAACATTTTATCCCGTTTTGTATGTGTAGATGCTAACACATAATGACTTTCTATGGGAAAAATGCAGGTAGGTGGGGTGACAGTTTATGGCTTGATAAACCTATTGCTGGTCAGTGAGATGTGAAAGAAGTTAAAAGTGCTCTTGTAGCAGGACTGGGAGGCGGCGAGTTGCAGCTTTGCAGGAGCTGCTGGGATGCCATGCTACCCACTGCAGCTAAGTCTGTTTGCTGTTAAATCCCAGAGCTTCAGGAAACCTCTGAGCAAGCACAGTCCAAATTCAAAAGTGAAAAGCAAAGCCGAAAACAGCTGGAACTCAAGGTGACAGCCCTGGAGGAGGAGCTGACTGACCTTCGGACCGAGAAGGAGTCTCTGGAAAAGGTAAGTTCTATAATCAAAGTTACTTGCTAGACCCAAGTTGCCAGGATTAGCTTAATAAGCTTTTAAAGATTAAAATAGTTTGTGTTCATTGTAAACGATACAATCAAGACAGAAATTATAAAATAAAATTTATCTTTTCTCCCTCTGTAATTCATTGTTTATATTTGTACTTCTAAACACATGTATAAATATCCTTCCAGATTGTTTTCTGTGTATAAAACACAAATACATATGCTGATGTCATTTCTTACAATATAGTGGGATCATGTTTATTGCTTTTTTTTAAATGTCATGGGCATTGTACTAGTAAGAATGAGATTTTTTTTTTAGCTACTGCATACTGTGCTTTTTAGCTACAGTCGGCTGTGAGGCTGCACCATGATTTAAATCCTATCAGTGGATACTTACGCTTCTCCTGTTTCATTATTTCAACTTTGCGGCTGTGAACATTTTTGTACTATGTACTAATTTTGCAAATTCATTTAAGCATTTTCATAATTGCTTGAATTGGAATTCAGTATTTACTAATATTGCCAGATTGTCCTCAAAGGAGAACATACTAGCTCACACTTCCAGCATGATGTAAGCCAGTCCATTTCTGCACACTTTTTCCAGTCTGCACGTTCGTCAGTTTTTCTAATCTTTGTAGTTTGAGAGTGAAATAGCCTATCTTGTTTTACTGTGTATTTTTTGTTAGTGGTAAAATTTTTATGTATTCAATATCTACTAGTTTTTATTCTGTGATTTCTCTTTAATATCCTTTGTCTTCTTTCCTATTGTAATATTGGTTTGATTTGATTTGGAAACACTAAGGGTATAAATCCTCAGTCAGCTGAAATAGCTTTCTAGTTTGCTGTCTTTTACCTTTATTTCCATCAATAGCATATTTTGTTTTAGAATTTTACTATCGGAGATGTACTAGCCTCATTGAACCAGGTGGAATGTTTCGTTTGCTATTCTGGAACAGTTTAAATATAAAAAGAGCAAATTATTTCTGAGGTTTCAATAACACTGTATAGTAAAGTCCTTTTGGCCAGTAGCAGCAGCTTCAACCCCAGACCCCTGAGGTGGTTCTTTCAAGAGAAAAGTTTCTTGTATGATTTTACCAGGTTTTTAAAAGCCAGTTCCTTCTGATTTTCAGCTCTTTTCAGTTTTTCATCTTTACTGATACCATTAAAGTGACATCATTATAATACACAATCTATATGAACATGGTCTGTTGCTTCCTTAAAGAGAGGATAATCTGTGGACTTTGCGATTTGAAAGTCTCTCTGTGAGACTGCCAGGTCCCCATCCAAAGAGAGTCGACACATTTCCTACCAGTAAGATGTGAAAGCGTCCTGCTTCCCTCTACCCCCCACCATTGGGGTGTTCCCCATCGCTCAGTGGCATGGCAGACAAGGTTCTTCTTGTCACAGTTTTTCTCACACAATAGCCAAGAATATAGGGAAAACTTAAACTAAAAATAGTTTACAGAAATGAAGTAAGGACCCTGTGAGGTCAGTACCGCCACCCCTGTTTATACCCCATTAAACAGCTTAAGCTCATGATGGTTCTTCTGTTCCCAAGAACCTTTCAGAACGGAAAAAGAAGTCAGCGCAGGAGCGCTGCCAGGCTGAGGAGGAGATAGATGAGATTCGTAAGTCACATCAGGAGGAACTCGACAAGCTGCGACAGCTCTTGAAAAAGACTCGCGTGACCACAGACCAAGCAGCTGCAGAGCAGGTAATGGGAAACTGCGGCACTTTGGAATAAAGGAAAAGCATGAATGCTCAGAGAGAAAAGCTTCTAGTTTCTCCCTCATCTTTTAGGATGACATTTCTTATAGTTGATGCTCTCACTTTGGAGAAAAGTGCAAGAAAGCAATCCAGAAATCAAAGAGCCAGAAATCAAATAAAGAACTTCTTTCTCTTTTAGTGAAATTTATAAGAAAAACATGGGGGGAAAATCTTTATAAAAAAGTTGCAAACATGGTAAGACCGAAGTCCTCAACCATGGGACACCACCTGTCGGGCACATTGTGTCCTGGAAGGGGTCTGTTTAGATGGTCAGGAAGGGAAGCCAGGGGTAGTTGCTGATACTGCTTGGTATCTCATCCATTGGACAGCCCCTTTTTCATTGTAACTTCATGAATTCATGTTTGTGTCCATTTAATTAGAGTGAATCGATGTCCTTGATTTGCTCCACCTCTGGGGAATTTTAACAAAAATAAATTTTGGAATTTCTCAAATGGTTAGGGCCCAGACCCTGGAAAGTAGGATGGTGGTAGGACCCTGCCCTCCAAGGACCAGTCACACCTTTGTCTGGCTACAGTGACTTTGGAAATTCTAACAACCAGGGGCCTCTTCTTACTTCCATTAAAAAATATTTACCTAAAAAATAGTCTTTCAGTGCTTCCTTATCAAGTCTGGGCTGTTAGCTTTTTTCTTTGGCCTTATGAGATAAGCTACCCTAGATGTGCCTGGATCCCCCAGAATCTGATCATTACTTTCTCCTGGCAGCTCTCGCTAGTGCAGGCAGAGCTGCAGACCCAGTGGGAAGCAAAATGTGAGCATCTGCTGGCCTCTGCCAAGGATGAGCACTTGCAACAGTACCAGGAAGTGTGTGCCCAGAGGGATGCCCATCAACAGAAACTGCTCCAGCTTCAGACAAAGGTAGGTGTTTTCCTGGGCCAGAAAGCTGAGGTGGCCCATTTAATCTGAGACCAGCAGATTATTTGAGTCTTGTGAGTCCTTTTGAGCCCTAAAGAAGTTGATAGCTTAAAAATACCACACTCGCCCAACGCCCAATGTTCCAGTTTATCAGCAATCTTTCACATGCTAATTTGGACAACAGATCAGTGACCTAGAACAAGAGAAAGCAGCAGCAGTGTTCTGGAGCACATTTTCCATTATTAATCTTTCATATATTAAGTAAATATTTGCTGAGTGCCAGTATGTTCCAGAAACTATATTAGGGAAAGGGCTTACAAAGAACTTGGCCTTCAACAACCTCACAGTCAAGAAAGGGAGACAAAGATAAGCATTAAATGCTGTGGGGTGCAGAAGAGAAGTACTTCAGATTCCAGGGAATCCTTGAGAGGAGGAGACATTTGAGCAGAGACAAGGAGGACAATCACTTTGGTAACCTGGAGATGTGGCCTGAACTTCCTGGCTCTGAGGGTGGAATGGGACTCAGGGCATGGAGGGATCATCTGGCATAAAAAACGAGAGAAGGAGGAATGGATGAGGGTCCTGGCATAAAAGTCCTGGAGGTCAGTTTCTTTCCTCAAAGTGTCTAGTTGAAAGCCTTTGACACAGATGGTGAAGACAGCTTGCTAGGTGGCTGCTAATGTCCAGTGTGCGTGTCTGTGATTAAAATTATAACTCCTTCCCTTTCCTTTATATTCATGACCTGATTCGGGACAAGGCAGCTGACCTTGTTAGGAAAGAGGAAGTGATGTGAGTCGAAACAGAGTGAGGTGGAAATAAAAGCCTGGGGTAGGCATGGAGAAGGGGGATGCCAAAGACCTCCTTGAGGTGAACTCTTAGTGCTTGGACGGTTCTCCTCTCGGCTTTCCTGATTTTCAGCCGGTAGGTCCAGGTTCCCAAGGCCATAACCACGGTCTGTTTTTCAGTGTTCAGCCCTCCAGGCCCAAGTCACAACCCTGACAGAGCAAAATGAACAGCACATCAAGCTCTTGGAGAAGAAAAAGTCCCAGGGATCTGGGGTTGAAGCTGCTACTACTGACCCCTCAGAGAAGGTGAGCTGTGATGCACAGGGCCCAGCCACAGAGCAGCAGCATTCGCAAAGAATGTGGCCAGATATCATGTTGATAGGTTTTTCCTTAAGTCTACCGGTGCACCACTTCTGTGGCTCAAGTAAAAGTTAACCCTTGGGAGCCTATCACTTTGGTGGCAAATCCAGAGGGTTTGGACATACAGGGAAGGGCCTCTGAATCTCAGGAGTGGAGTGGGAGGTCCAACATTCTCCTAGCCCGTGGGGGTGCTCCGTGGTGGTCTGGGTGGGAGGGAACATCTCCAGGCAGTTTGGGGCACACAGACGACAGCTTGCTTGCCCTTGAGAGCAATTCTGTCAAAGTACTGCTCACAACCAGCTGTGTCTTGCCATAGAGTTCCAACAGGGCTTCAGCTTTGCCTTCCAGATCCCTCTCAGGAATTTATGTGCATCCCTCAATGACTTGATTTTGGCAGCATACATCTTGATGTTTTTCTCCCCTTGTGTTTTTACGCAGGTGAAGAAGATCATGAACCAGGTGTTTCAGTCCCTGCGGGGAGAGTTTGAGCTGGAGGAGTCTTATGATGGTAGGACGGTGCTGGGGACCATCATGAATACAATCAAGGTACAGCTGATGATTCCATCGGAATGGGTGTGTTGTTAATTTATTCGAGGCTGTTCATTAGTGATGAGGATGCTAGGGAAGACTTATCTGGGTTGATGTGGGCAGCCTCCTACAAGAGGAGGAAGCAAAGTCGTTTTGAACTGGATGACCAGTTGTATTAAGGACTGAAGGCCTAGGAATGCCTGCTGTCTTCCTGTCAGTGAGTTTTTCCTTCTCCTTGGCTTTTAAACAGATGGTGACTCTTCAGCTGTTAAACCAACGTGATCAAGAGAAAGAAGAGGGTAGCAATGAAGAGGAAGAAGAGAAGCAGTCTCCGAGACGCCCCCAGGAGCAGTCAGCCTCTGCCAATTCTGGGCTGTCTCCCGTACCCCCAAATGGGGAGAGGCAGGAGTCACCTGTGGTGCCATCTGAGCAAGAAGTCAAAGAAACTGTGTCATTGCCTCCTCAGACCCTCCCTTCTCCCCAGGTTGATGTACACAGAAGGAAAGAGGAGCCCTCAGAAGCAGAGGTGCTCTCACAGACAAAAGATGACCCACCTGAACTGGCTTGTGTCCTTTTACACAAATTTCCAGGGCCCCCAGCTTCAATTCCCCCTCAGCCTCCAGGCCCTGTAACCATTGACTCTGAGTGTGAGGAGACTCTAGCTGCCAGCCCAGTGGCACCTAAGCCCGACAGCCCATTGGGAAATGCCTGTGATGGGGAGCAAGAAAGTGCCACAAGACTCTCCTTGACTTCAGACCCCAACAGGGAGGACCCACAAGCCTTAGGACCAGAAAGTCCAGGAGGAGAGCCTCAGCCTCCAGAGCTCCAGGAAGACAAGGACGCCACTAGCTCTGCTGGTCCTTGCAAGGAGCTGTCGAGCACAGAGGTGGTGTCTACAGCTGCGGGAATAAACCTTGGACCCAGCCACTGTTCTAGGCATTCCAGGTATGCTCCCCTGGGTAGTTGTAGGGACAAGGCATCTGTATGTAGAGGTTGTCTGGCTTTTCTAGAGCTGGCATCTCACTCCTCAGAAACTCATTCATTCATTCATTCATTCGTGCATTTATTAAGTAACTCTAGGCTCTGTGGAAGGCGAGGCAGAATTGGTTCTTCAGTTTGAGTCTCATGGGAAAGAAACATTTTTAAAAGTATGATAATTTTTTTTTTTTAAATGTGTTAGCAGAATAAGGAGGTAGTTATTCTGCTTTATACAGAGTAGATAGGGAAGGATTCTGCAGAGGTAACTTTTTAACATTTAACTGAAGGGTGGAACAGAAACTACTATTGCTGAGAGCAAGAGCAGCATATGCAAAGGCCCTGAGGTGGAAGGGAGCACGACACAATCACGGAACTAAAAGAAGGCAGAGTAAGTAGGAGAGTAGTGTTCAACCGAAGTTAGAAAACAACGCGGGGTCAGTCGTTAGGTTTTATGTCCCTGTTAGAAGTTTGGACTTTACAGTGAGAAACTACTAAAGGGATTTAAGCAGAAGAGTATTTTTTCTTTTTAATTTTGCATGGAGGCGTCATGTTGGTTTATAATATGTATGTGATTGAGTGGTATAAGATCATACCTCTTCAGACGTATGTTACCTCACCACGCCCACCATCAAGGCATCCATTGGCCTCTACTATGGTCCATTGGGCCCCCTTCATACTTTGCTCTCTACCTTCCCTCTCCCTTCTGGTAGCCTCACTTTTATAGTCAGAGTTCTAGACTGTTTTTGGTTTGCTTTTGTGTGACCTTTGTTTTCTCTGTGTTCCACATATGAGTGAAACCATCCATTATTTGTCTTTCTGAGCGTTTAGGTTGTTTCCATAACTTGGCTATTATGAATAGTGCCGCATTGAACGTATCTCCCTTTGAATTGGTATTTTGCATTCTTTGGGTAACTGGGAGAATTGCTGGATAATGTGGTGTATATACTTTTACTGTTTTAAGAAACTTATGTACTATTTTGAATAGGGGCTGGGCCGTCTGTGTTCCCACCAACAGTGTACGAGTTCTCCTTTTTCTCTGCATCCTTCCAACATTTGTTGTTTCTAGACTTTGACATGAACCATTCTCATAGGTGTGATTTTGATTAGTATTTCCCAATAACAAGTGATGAGTATTTTTTCATGTCTGTTGGCTATCTGTATGTCTTTGGAGCAGTGTCTATTTAGCTCTTAAGCAGGAGGGTTTAAAAGATCACTCTGGCGACAGGTTGTGGAGGAGGACAAGAACATTAGGAGCCAGTGTGGGAAGGGAGGAATTCCTTAGTGGTTACCATAGCTGTTGGATTCTTATCCCCAGAGCCTGTGGGCACTGAGGCCTAGAGCCAAAACAACATTTTCTATGACTTGATTTTCTGGATTTTTCTTTCAGTCTTTCTGGGGATGAAGAGGAGGAGCTGTTTAAAGGGGCAACTCTGAAAGTCCCAAAGCCCAAATCACTGCCTGAGGAGGAAGATGAAGATGAGGTGGTAAGGAATTCCCAGGCACTGCCAAGTCCTCACACCACCTCCTGGGGGCCCTTTGCCGCTGGCTCCCAGAGGAGAACTGGAGTCTGTTGGTGGCCCACTCCCTGGGCTCTGTGTGCGGGGCCCTGTGGGAGCGCGCTTGGGGCTAGGAGGGGGCGGCTCTGCAAGCACAGTGGGGATGGTCAGGTCCCACTTTATTCTTGAAATGAACTATGAGCCCTCTCTGTGCAGGAGCCATTGCCACTTTAAGAGAGTGGGCCGCTTAGTCCTACATTAAATTGCTTAAGCCTCAGGTTTCCACACAGCTGTAGGGTATTTATATTTTAGAATTGTAGACTTTGAAGCTCTCACCTGGTGCGCTTACTCCCGGAGTCAAGGGGTAAGTTAGTGGCAGGGCTAGGACTCAGATTCCCCTGTCCTGAGCACTGCCTGCTTCCTCAGGCTCTCCAGCCTGCTGCCTTATACGGTCATCACCACGTTCCTGGGCAGAACCGGGCCAAGTTCTGAGCACATAGCCTAGCTTTGAACAGCTCGAGCAAAGGCCGTGGCGGGTGGGTCACTGATGGAACCTGGATAAGCACCCCTTTCTTGCATCTGCTGTCCCTGTTGTGCTAAACTAAGGCTTTTCTGGGTTTGCTAGGACATTTTGACTGCTCTGATGGGAATTTCACTGGATGGAGGGCACAGACTAGCTTCAGGCTGTCTCATGCAGGGACAGTGTAGGGGCAGGACAGGACACAGAGCAGGTTTTCCAGGATCCAGAAGACCGGGTAAGGAGTCAGAGCCCTCAGTGGCTTTTTGCAGGCTTTTATTGGGGTTTACCAGGTACACAGCTGGAAGGGGTACTGGCAGACCTCCCAGCCCCCAGCAAGTCTTCACTCTGTCTGGGCTCTCCAGTGTGTTTTTTCTCTCTCTCTCTCTCTCTCTCTCTCTCTCTCTCTCTCTCTCTCTCTCTCTCTCTCTTCTCTCTCTCTCTCTCTCTCTCTCTCTCTCTCTCTCTCTCTCCCTCTCTCCCTCTCTCCTCTCTCTCTCTCTCTCCTCTCTCTCTCTCTCTCTCTCTCTCTCTCTCTCTCTCTCTCTCTCTCTCTCTCTCTCTCTCTCTCTCTCTCTCTCTCTCTCTCTCTCTCTCTCTCTCTCCTCTCTCTCGACTTCCGCTGCTGCTGGCATCCCTGTGACACCGCCCTTAAAAGTCCAGTCTCTCAGCCCAGGTGTACCCACTTCAGGTGCCCGCCATCAGGCATGCATTCAGGACCACAGGGTTCCCTCATCTATCCTAATGGTGGGAGGGCAGAAAAGCCTGATACCTTTTACCTACCCTACAGACAGATAAGAGATGAATGGGGGCAAATTTGTGTATCAACTAGAGTGGGTTTGCCTCTTGCCAAAACCTTAGGGAAATGGATGTGCCAGAGCTGGGATCTGGCTGGCAGGAACCAGAACCCTTCCCTCTTCTCCAATTCCGTTAGCCTTTCTTTCCAAGAATTAAATTTTCATTTTAGAATTCCGAATATGAAGTCTATACTAAAAAAACGATGTAGACAAAAACCAGATATCCCAATGACTGCCCTAAATGTAGTTTGAATTTTTTAATTAGTATTATATTATTCGTATTAATACTAATGCCATCAAGTTCTATTTCTTGGGTACTCTGAAACCTATTTCACAGACATCCTCATTTAATCATCCACTAATCCAGTGAGGTGGGTACTTTTACCCTTTTAGCCTCAGGAAAATAAAACATGCCCAAGGTTATATAGCTGGTCCAAGATAACAGACTGGTGAATGTAGAAGCCAGAACAAAACAAGCCGGAACCACATTTTTAAATCCCATAGTTTCAGAGTTTGGAGATCACGGCATTGGTGCCAGGAGAGGCATCATCTGTAGTTGGTGTTGGGGATGGGATTAGCCCCAGGACCTGACCACACCATGTGGCCTTTCCTTTGGCCCTGTTAAGACTGACCCTGGACCAACACTCGCTCGCAGAGCAGAGGGTACTGCAGCAGATAGTACTCACTGTATGCTTGTCTCCAGCGTCAGTTCCTGCTACCCCAATGGGGCCTAGTCGCTGTGATCCAGAGGAAAAGGCCAGGAGCTCATATCATGGAAAGGGACGGTCTTCTCTGTGGCCCATTCGTGCTCTTATTCCCCTACCTGGTCAGAGGGAGCGACAGGTGGGGGCCTAGTGAGACCAGGGCTAGGGGCGGCTGGGCTATCTTCCTCTCTTGGGATTCTCTTGTTAATTTGGCCTAACCCCTGCATTTGACCCCCTTTCATAAGATGGGTTCAAGTCCAGAGCCACTCAGGCCACATGGTGTTTTTTCAAATGTGACTGTATTGTTCGCCTCCTCTCACCTTCCTGAAATCTGTGTTCCCCTAGTCCTGCTTTTCTTCTGTTCCTTTCTCCCACTCTGCCTCTCCCGTGACCCTCGCTGTGCAGACAGTGTGTTAACTGCATGAGAACCTGTCAAATCAGTACATGTGCTTCACAAATAAATGACCAAAATAGCCAAACAAAGTCGGTCTATTTGTCTATGTTCAAAGACTGCCAGTTTCTGCTTACCCAGGAAGCTGGGTCTGCGCCTCGGGGTCAGGCCTTGTAGTAAAGGCCTAACCACAACCGCCTTTGTGATCTGGAGCCCAGAACAGACGTTGGCTCACTTCACCTCAGAGGAGGGAAGTCCGTCTGGTGCAGGACTAGTAAGGACTGACTACTCTTTCCTGTTTTGTCAGAGCATGAAGGGACGCCCGCCCCCAGCACCCCTTTTTGGAGATGATGATGATGACGATGACATTGACTGGCTGGGATGAAGACCCAGGAAACTGGTGCAGAGGTTTCTCTACCAACCTTGCTTAAACATGATTTTGCACAGCAATCACTGGGTCTAGGAAGCCATGGGGTGAGGTGAAGGTGAGCACTGAGGACAGCATTTCAGAGATATTGAGTTAGCCACCTTCTGAACCCTGGCCTGGCCTGGCAAAGAGGAGCATGAGCCTCTCCAGAATGCCGGGGTTGTCAGCAGCCAACCATGGACTTGCCACAGGCACATTTGGGAGGAAGGGCGGGTAGATTCTCCAGTCGGTCACCTACAAGTCACTTGTCCTCATCCATGCTTTTTCTTCTGTTCACTAACTCTCAGACTCATCTGGGGAGCCCTCTGCCTCCCAGTGTTCACCTGTCCAAACATCAGGACCTGTTAGCTGGGGTGAGGTCTCCATGTAGAACCAAGGGTGGGTACACCACCTAAACCCCAGTGCTGTAGCAGTCCTGGGACATGTAATTTTCTCTGCCTTAAATCTGATACAAAAGGTCAATATTTGAAACTAACAAAATTAAAATAAATGTCTGCAATGAAACTGGACTCAAGCTCATGGGGGGCAAACTGTACTTGCTTCTAAGGGCTGTTTGTGCTTCTCTCTGGGAAGCTAAGGGCAGGAACTGGAACTATTCAGGTCAGTTAATATGTACGAAAGCACTTTGGTACCTAACCCTGGAACTTTCAGGCTAAGTCTCCAGCTCATCCTAGTACCTCAAGGCTGCAGGCCTTGTGGTCATCTGAGGACCTGCTCCTGGCTGGCTTGCTCCTATACCCTAGGAAGCCACGCAGAGAGGGTGGGGGGATCCCCACCTTTCATCATCATCCCTTATGGCCCTGAGGGATTTTCACCACTTCCAGAACACTTTCCAGTTCCTCTGAAGTCGGGGCCAGGACTAAAGAAGAGAACAATAGTGAGACAGTATTTGTGGTTATTTTACTTACTCCAGGATCTTCCAAAGACCATACAACCAGTTTTTAAAAAGCAGAATAATTTTAATAGAAATGTTTCCTGATTTAAATGTGCATAAGCTAGGAACCCAGAGTCCATGTCATCTGACCAGCCGTCGTCTGGCTTGCTGGTGGCTTTGAGCCCATTTCCCATAAGGGGGCAGGGAGGCAGTAATACCATTTATTAAACTTTGTGTTTAACTAATAGACACTTCAGTTCAGCACTTTATGGACCGTTTCATCTCCAGGAACCCTTTGCAGAAGACCCGATTATCCCCATCTTACAGAAGAGAAACTGAGGCTTAGAGAAGTCAAGTAACATGTCCAAGGTTACATGGCTAGTAAGCAACAGAACAAGAACCCCAGTCCTGACCATGATACCCCATTCTGGGCAGAAGCCCAGAGGCCACCCTGCCTATTCCTTCGCCTGACTGACCATCATCACTGGGCTGGGGGTTAGGGAGGTAGGGAAGGAACCAGGTTTCCCCAGCTCTGCCCCAGAATCCCTGAACAATGACTGCCCTATTATGGTAAAACACATAGAGCACAGGCCTCTTGGGCTCCACAATCTGTGTTCACAACCTGCTCCACTGGCCACTGTGTGGCTTAGCCAGTTACCCTAACTCTCAGCCACACCCCCTCACCTGAGTTGGTAAGAGCAGACATGGGACTACTTGTTATCTGGGTGACTATTTCTGTGCCTCAGCCTCTTCACCCTTAAGGCAATGACAGCAACAGTTTCTACCTTGTGAGGATTCAATGAGCTAATATTGTAAAGTGCTTAGAACACTGCCCGGCATGTAGTGAGCACTATGTAGGTGTTAAAAAGAAATTCTAAGTAGGGAAAATACCATCTTTGTGACTTGACTCTGAAGAATGGTGAAATACCCACTGAGACTCACCATATAATCAGTCTCTCTAGAGTTTTTTTTTTTTTTAAGCCCTCCATGCTCTAAAAGCCTCATGTATTTGCGTGTTTAAAGAGACCGCAGGAAGAGGTTGCCTAATGCCCAGGGAGCTGCCCTCTCAGGGAGGGAGCCGAAGCCGGGCAGGACCTACAAAGGGACATGTGTGACTCAGCAGCCCAGCACTAGACACTGGAAACCTTACATCCCTTATGACACGGAGCAGTTTCCCGTTCCCTGAAGAACTGGAATATGGGGAGAAGGTATTCATCAACCCTATGCTTCCTGTGACACTTTACTATAGAATTAAAAAGTGGTTTTGACAGACTTGCTTCTGCCCTCAGAAGAGCAGGCCCTGATAACTGAGCCAACAGATGCTGATATGCCACGTGACGATTCCTTTCTTTAGAGTGGCACCAGTTCAGTATGTTACGTGAACAGGGTGACTACTGACCAGGCCAGCATTGTGGGGTGTCTGCCTGTGGGCACAGCCTTTCAGGGCTGGGCTTCCCTGCACACAGAACTGTTTGTCTTCACAGCAGATGAACAGACTCAGCCCTTAGCCAAACAGCCAGTTTCGTTCATTCCAGTTGTTACAAGGGTGATGCGTGCTGCTGTTGGAGTAAGGACAAACAGAATGGGCACGCACACAACTGGTTAATGTCCCCTAAAAATATATACTTTTCAAATATATTCCTTGTAGTTCCCAGAGCTCAAGGACACCTGTCCTCTACAGCAGAAGGCACCTGTGCATAGCTAATCCACAGCAGCAATTTCCTCCTCCTTGGGCTCTCGTTTCCTTTCCTATAAAGCAGAGGCTCAAATATCTAGAGAGTCCTATCTGGAGAGCTACGAATGTAACACTTTGGTTTGACTGCTATTACGTCTTCAGCCACTCTTCTCCAAGGGTCTCAGCATTTGAAGTGAATGAGTAGTTTTCCCACCAGATCCTTAGTAGGAGCAGTAATCATAAAAAGCAGGCGCTGAGTGTAGAATATTCAGTGCAGTTCTCTGTTCTGAGAGGGTGTTAAGGCCGTGAAGCGCTCCCCACACACCAGAAGGCACAGGCCTCTCCTGCAGACTGTGGAGCCCGATGGGAAGCACTCAGTCTCCAGAGGGACAGTCAGGAGCTGCAAACTGCTCCTCTGTCCTGACTCTCACTTTTCCACCAACAAAGGGAAAGAGGCCCCAGCAGTTGCCGCCATCCCTCATGAGTAAAATGAAATCATTTAGTTAAAAATTTAGTAGTAATGTGCAAAACTGCCAACCAGGAGTTCAATGGGGAAAGTGAAAAATCTTAGTTTGGCAACATGACCCACAGAAGAGGTCATCTTCCTGTGTTCCAAGACAGAAGGGCGATGGAAAAGGAGCCAGCTTGGCCTCTGTCCCACAAAGACCAGAGGTCTGGAAGTCCAGTGGAAGAGGCTCCTCTAAATAAGGCACAAATGAGAGCAGAGGATTCCAGGTTCCATACTCTTCATCACCCAGAATTCATCTGTCTTGAAAATCTTTGGAAATTCTAAATTTTGAATTGCAGATAGTCATCGTAGACTCAGCAACCCTGTCCCCCCATGTTCCGTTCTCTTCATCCTCCCTCTGGTCTCAGCAGCCTTAAGGAGGCTGAGGAGAGGCAGCTGCAGTGGCCTCTGAACTCTAGGGAACAAGCGACAGCTTCGGCTGAAAGTTTCCAGGAGCTGGGAGCGCAGTGACGAACAGCCATCGGACAAGGAGACGGGCTGGAAGTACAACATCTGGAAGAGGAGGATCCAGCCTCTCCAGCCCTCGATGCCTGCACAGCCCTCACCAGCTAATCTGTACCGAGAAATGGGTAGGCTAGGTAGTAACCCACAGCTGAGCCCAGGACCACGCCGAAGAAAATCCAGGTGTTGTAAGTCATAACAGCCAACATAATGAAGTAGCTGATGACCACCTGAGCGACATGGATCAGCGACTGGCCAAAGTGACACAAAAACCACCTGGATAAAAAGGAGAACCAAGTTAATGTTGGTGATGAGCTGGAGGCTGGGAGTTGTTAGGGAGTAGAAAGCTGCAGAGTTATAGGACCAGCTTATTTAAAAGTTACATGCTTAACCAAGGAGAGATTTCAGTTATGCCAGAAACCATCAACAGAGAGAAGGGACTTGGACAAGGCGCCTAGGGTAATCCCTTTTGGCTATGAGTCAAGTTCCTAGCTCTGCCACTTAACTAACTGTGGCCTAGCACAAATGTCTCCCCCTCTCTAAATTCTATTTCCTCATCAGTAAAAACAGGGATAAGAATAGCTTCCTGGCACTGTAGTTTCAATATGAGATACTCGTGTAGGGTGGCTGGTGACAGAGCAGGCGGGCTTATTTAGCACAGGTGAGGCTAGAGCTGGGGAGGGCAGCAGGGGACCCCTATCAGAAAGGCAGGGAAGAGGGGAGGGGGCTCCTCCACCAAGTTGCATCATTGCTGACAACAGTCTTAGTTACATAGGGACAGAGCCCAGCCTGGATCTGGAAGCCCCATGAGTTTGGGGAGAACTAGGTGTTCACCAGACTTCTGATAATCTGAGCCCCCAGGTGGCTGTTCACACAGAAAGACCAGAGTTCAGATTCACCTTACTGCTTACTAAAGTGTATGTACTTGGTAAGGTCCTGGTCCTCAACTTCCTTTCTGTGAAGTGGGGCTAATGCCCTCTGAGCCCAGCCCACCCCTCAGTGTGAATGCGAGTGTTCTGTCTGTTCCACACCTTATGCCTGTTACCTGAGGCGGGTGCCACTAGCTGAGGCTGAGTCTGAGGCCACAAGATCCTGTTGCGACTCATGGATGACCTGGGGGCTGGCAGACGTGGACATGCTCACCAGAGTCTGACGCAGCAGCTTGGCTTTACCGACCTTGATCCCTTCATACAACACAGCCAGGAGCAGGATGACCAACACGGAGAGGGCAATGCCTGTCAAGAAAAGTTGAGCTGCAGAGACCTGGCCTGGCAAGCACTGCTCCTCTCCAGAAGCTTCCTGTGACCTGGCACAGGAGGCAAAGAGCACCTCCACCCATGCCCTCTGAATCCACTCCCAGGGCCCTCTGGCTTTTTCTTCCCCATCCTTGTTAGGTTCAGCTTTACAGTTGCTCCCCTGCCAACCCTTTCTTGGTGGATGGCTTTGAAATCAGGTAGAGAAGCCACTGGCTGAGGATGAAGGAGACACACACCCCTCACCCCAGCAGGCAACACAAATCTGTTGAGACTTCTTGCTAAGAAGAGTATGTATATAGCAGAGTCTTGTTTATATGCATAAGCACAGAAGTGCCTGGAAGGAAGGCAATGCAGCAAAATAGTTCTAGTCATCTCAGCAAATTAGCACACGGGAGGTATTTACTTCCTTTTCACCTTATTTCCTAAAGTTTCTTCTGTATGTGTTGCTTTTATAACATGGAAAACCCCAGTAAGTTAATTTATAGAAACCATTAAATGCTTGCTAGTGCTGCTGTGGAAAATTAACTGCTGTTTGCTACTTTTATTCTATAAATGGAAGAATAGCAATCGGTTCAGCTATCATATTTTATTGGCCTTGTAGGGAAAACCTCAGTGACTGTCTTAACCAGTAAAGATGAAAGTGGTGCTGTGACTGCCAAAGCGAGGTCTTAAAAATCCCCTGCATTTACACCTTGTTCTCCTGGGACACTCCCTTGCTCTTGGATGCCAGGCTCCCTGTCGTGAGGCGACCCAGGCCTAGGAGACACCACAAGTAGGAGTTCAGCCAACAACTTCCACTGAGGTCCTAGCAACCACCAGCAGCAGCTAGGAGACATGAGTGTAGAGTCAAAATGACTCCAGTTCCAGCCACTGTCTGACTTGACCTGCATGAAAAAATGAGTGAGGACTGCTTAGCTGAGCCCAGTTGGCTCAGAACCTTCATAAAACAAAGGCTGTTGTTTCAGGCCACTAGGTTTACCCTACAGTAAATTACTGGCATGGCACCCACTGTAGGGATGGCCCAATGATGGACATTTGGGCCAATACCAGTCTCTTTTTAAGATGCAGTTATTTAAGCTGAAATAACTCAATGCCCAACTCTGCCTCTTCAAGTCAAAGAAAAACTCTTCTCTTTGAAATTAGTTTCTCATTTGAGGTCTCAGCAGCTACTAGAACCCTCAGTGAGGGAAGGGCCAGGAGGCTACAGGTTGCTTTGACCTAGTTCTGACTCTGATGTTTCCTTGCTGTGTGGCCCCGGACTAGTCTCTTCTCTCTGGGCTTCAGTTCCTTCCTCTGTAATAGAGGAAAAAGCTTCATCTGGCCTTTGTGAGGATCAGAGGGATAATGCAGCCCTTTACAAATGGAATTTTTTAAATGCAAAGTTCCTGATCAAAGTTAAACGAGGAGTAGGCCACCTACAATGCTAACAGGGCAAAACCCAGGCTTTCCACTGCCTTGCAGCTTTTTATTTTTTTAAAAGATTTATTTATTTATGCATACAAGAACTGGGGTACAGACCAGAGGTGTGGGAGTGAGAGGATTCACCAGAGACAGAGTGGGGAACAGAACAGGCAGATTAACTGAAGTACACTGCTGAGGGGAACAGCGGGCGAATCAGGAGAGGTCTGCTGCGCCATGTGAGTTGCTCCCTGGCCGGGGATCGAACTGGTGCTGCAGTGGCTGCGGATAGCTTCATAGGTTACGTCTTAACTCCTTGCACCACCAGGGAGGCCCTGCCTTGCAGCTATTAACCTGGGCTTCCCAATTCTTACCTGCAGGACTGTGGACACTCCAGAAATCAAACAGAAGCACCACCTCATCTGAGAAGATGAAATGCATCTAAAAGAGAAGGAGTCTGCATCACAGGGAGCTTAGGGCAGTGGAAGTCACCATCCCTGATGTTCTCCACAGCTTTCTGGAAAGGCTCAGAACAATGTCCCAAGTGGATCAACAGCAGAGCTGTAACTGAGCTGGCCCTGATCTGGGAGAAGGGACATGGGAGGTGTGCCCACCTTCATTGGGCAGGCCAGGCTTAGGATGTCAAGGTGCTCTGGGGTCATATGGAGATGTCCTCTGTGCCCTCCAAACCCAGTGAGGAAGCATTAGACTGAGGAACTCAACTGCCTTGTTTTACCCATTGGGCTCCAGCCATTCTGCTGCGGCTCCGGGGCAGGCTTCCCCATGGGGAGACCATGTGGAGCAGGCGGGAGTCGGCTCAGCCTGGTGAGACCTGGCAGCCCCAACAGTGTTTATCATGGATGGGCCCGGGGAAGCCGTGTTCAGTTCACTCCACACCTGCTCACTCATTTACCAAACATTTGCTGAGTCCAATTCTGTGCCCAGCATTAAGGACAAAGGTGAATATTGCTGCCCTTGAGCTCAAAGCCTTGAAGAAAGATTGAAGGCAGAAGCAGTGCCCACACAGCATCTGCCTGCCGGGGGCGTCTCACAGGTGATCTCACTTGACAGTGGGACAGGGACAGAGGGCCCATCTCACAGGAAGGAAACTGGGGAGACTAGGGTCAGAAAAGTGAAGTCATCTGTCCCAAGTCTCAACACTAGTTAAGTAGGCAGCGCTGGAGTTCACGTCTGCATCTGCTGGGATGCCCTGTCTGTGAGTCCAGCGTGCTGCCTTCTCCATCACCAGGAAAGCCTGCTTGGGAATGGGGGTGAGGATTTAAATTCCCACAGCAGGCTTAATGACCGTGCTTAGCAAGATTAAAGTCAGTCTGTTCACCCTCTCAGGAGGGAAACGCCTCTCTCATCCCCAGGTAGGCCCTCGGTTGGCATAGGTGGTTCTGCTCAGAGTCAGGGCTCACCCAGCTGAGACACCGGCTGAACTGGGATGAGGGGGTAGCAGCCTTGGCCTTCTAAGGCAGTGGCCAAACATCAGTTACTCAAATATCAGGATGAGAAGTGTCCTTAGATTTGTTGAGATAGAGCTGCCATGCAGCATGACATGTGACCCAGAATGATCCAATATTTGTAATATATTGTCAAAGGATTCCCACAATAAGGCAAGTTACCATCTATCACCACATGTAGTTACATTTTCTTGCTAGCCATGAAAACTTAAGATCTAATCTCTTAGCAACTTTTATATGTACATCACAGTATTAACTATAGTCACAGTACAGCATGTCACATCCCCAGGACTCATTTTCCTCAGAGTTTCCAGTCCCTGGCTTCCCACACTTTTGCCAGGAAACACTGGCAAATAAAATCTTCCTTGTAAATCCACCTTGTAGGTTCAGCTCTGACTGTGAAAAACTCTGATCTAGTCCAACCTCAACTTTCTCTGACACCCCCTACCCCAACCCTGCATCTCATTTCCAGATGGGAAAAGGAAGGAAAGAGATTTATCCAAGACTTCATAGGAAAATGTAAACGTAGGCAGTCATTTAGAAAGCATGTTGAATTTAATATTGCAAATGCCTTTTTAAAATCCCCAATATGAAAGCGCTCCTTGCTCAAGGTAAAAAGCTGAAATAGTAAGAAAAAGTAAAAATTTTGAGTCCTACTCCCTAGAGATGTTCCTTATTGAGACAGCAAACAAGAGTATCTGCTGACATGGCAAAGGTTCACAAAAGACTGATGTGCATAAACAAACTGGCACAAAGAACTCCCCACGGGCAGAAGCCCCCAGCACCATGGAGTTGCACAATTACGCCTCTCCAAGTTCACTTGATAATGCAGTTGGCACGACAGAAATGTCCCCAAGGCTAATTCATCAGAGAGGCTACAGAACTGGGTCCCTTCTATCATCCTTGCACCAGGGCCAGCTAGTTCAGGGGCGCCAAATAACTTTTACCATGAACCTGAACACCCATGGTGAAACTAACTCAACCAACAGACATTTACTTTTGTTGTGCTGGGCATGTGCACACACTTGAGACAGACGAATGACAGTCCTTGGCTCCCGTGGAGCTAACGGTCCACTAGGGGAGAGATCATTACAACACGGTGTATGTAGTAGGGGAGTGGGAGGCACTCAGGGGGGTCTCATGCCGGGTGCAGGGAATCAAGGCCCCTGGGAGATATCTCACCCAGCCAGGAAGCAGGTGGTTAGGACTCCTTCCCCAGGAGGCCCAGAAGGCAGCCAGGGGTAGACTGACATCCACTATATTCCAAACTGAAAGCACCCAATCAGAGGTCAGGCTCTACCTCACTGGATAGTGAGGAGCCCAGGAGGGACAGACTCACCTAATCTTGACTTTTCACTGGAGCAAGGGATTCCAGTCAGCACACCCTGATTTGAGGCTGCAGTTTTCAACTAAATGGCCTGTGGTTAGATAGGCAAGGGGCGGGGATCTAATCTGGAGTCCCCCTTGAGGAAAAGTCAGCTTCCAGCAGCTGAGTTTAATTTATCTGTGTTCTTCGGGCCCCACCCTGGGTAGGGAAGGGTTGTGGAGGAAAGTAAGCAACCCCTCCGACTGGTTCTCTTATCTTCTCATTTGGGGAGATTACCCTTTGGTTTATAAATGAGGGAATTTTTCCTCAAAGAGTTTAGAGGGGTCTTAAGGTCTCTGCCCTGCCACTCGCAGGCTGGGGAACATTTTCCAAGCTCTTCCCATCTGTTTTTCCCTTAGAAAACCGGCAGGAGGTAACGGTGGGCACTTAACAAAAGACCTGTACTGGTTTCCTGCATCCTGAATTCTCTAACATTCTTCATAGAGCAAAGAAAATCACACGAGTTCTTCAAAGACCAAAGTGCCTTACAAACGGTCATTCTCCCCAGCCCAGGTGAACTGTGCCAAGAAAAGTAGCCCATCTGGAACGCTATTTCTGCTCCCAAGTGTAAGGAGGGTGTTCTCCCATCGCTCCCCTCCCCACCACGAACTTTTCAGAGGAGGAACAGGAAAGTAAAAGTGCGCTCTCGGGCTCCCCGGGCGCCTTCCCGGAATCTCCTCCAAGGCACTGCGCCCACGGCAGGGGATCCCCGGACTCGTGTCTCCACCCACCTCGCCCCCACCCTCACCTGCGCCAGCGCAGGTGTTCACGACTACAGGTCGGGCCGGACTGACTCCCAGCAGGAGGAGCCAATGAAAACCTCAAAGCCACCGCCGCTTCCCATCCCGCGTCTCCCCAACCCTGCTCCCACTGCAGGCAGCACTGCCCCACACAAGCCTTCGCCAGCCCCGGGTGCCAAGGGCGGCCGTCCACCCGCGTGCGTCTCTCTCGGTGGCGCCGGGACTCACCGCCATGGCCAGCGCTGGGGCGGGATCCCAAGTCGCGTCCGCTCGCTCAGGGCTCCGGGCTCGGAGTCCGCCCCGCCGCCGCCGGCGATCGCGACCCGGGCCGCGCGGTCACGTGGTCGGGGCGAGGCGGGCGAGCGCGCGCGGGCGCCTGGGAGTTGTGGTCCCGACGGCGCGTCCCCATCCCGGCGGCCGCGCGCGACCTGTCCGCGCGCGCTGCCGCGGAGCCTCGGGTGCCCGACCCCGGCCCGAGTCACTGGCACAGCGGGGTGACCTCCTGCCGCCCGTGTGGGCCCTCCCTGATTTACACTTGTCTTCGCAATTATCATAAAAATGTTTATTGCTCCTTGTAATAAGCTTCAACACATTGACTCGAAAATTCCAACCTCTGGACACAAGAGCAACAAATTCAGAGCAAATTACAAAAATTATCCAAGTTTTCTCATGTATTGACAAAACCAATACAGAGTGTCATTTTATTTTTTTTTATTTATTTTTTTTTAAAGATTTATTTTTATTTTTATTTATACAAGCACTGGGTAAGTCAGAAGCGCAGGAGGGTGAGAGAATTCACCAGAGCCAGAGCGGGGAGCAGAGCAGGCAGAAAGACCGAAGTACACTGCTGAGGGGAGCAGCGGGCGGCAGGAGAGGTCTGCGCGCCATGTGGGACCCTCCTTGGTGGCCAGGCAGCAGACGGGGAGCAGCCGGGGATCGAACTGGCGTCGCAGAGGCGCGGGCAGCTTCCCAACCCAGCGCTCAACCACTGCGCCACCGGGGAGGCCCCAGAGTGTCATTTTAATTTGTATTTATTTCTTTGATTTACAAGGGCGGTAACTTGTTGGTTGGGAGACTTTCTGGGGGCATAAGAGACTAACAGTATTTAATTTTTAGATATACTTTGTAGCCTGTGAGAAGGGGGCTCTGTTGTAGGGTGGCTCTAGAACCTGAGCGTTACCAGTGTTCAAATCCCGAGCTAGCACGGCTTGGCTGTGGGACCTCAGGCATATAGCTTTGCATTTCTGAGCTGGTTTCTTGATGACACAGCTTCTAAGAACTCCCATCTGAATGATAGTGGGAGTAACAGGAATGTCAAAGATGGGGTCAGCCCTCAGCAGAAGGCTGTGAGGTCTGAGAGGGAGAGCAGGGAGGGAGGTGGGCTGCTCCGGGATGTACTAGGCCAGGGAGGAAGCCACAGGAAAAGAGCTACAGGATGTTCTAGAAGCATTCTGAGCCTTAAGACCTTCAAAGAGATTTGATAAGTTGGGTGTAATATTTTGTTTGTGTCTCACCTTGGAAGCAGGGGTAAGAAGATATGACCTTCACATGAACAGACTCCTGTGTACCCACCTGCTCCACTCCCCCATCCTCCAGGGAAAGATTTGCAACACAGCTTTATTCATCTGACTGTTTTTGTTGGCCTGATCATGATTGGATGACCTTCAGTTAGTTCAGACTTCCTCATATGTGTTATGAAGCCCTAAAGTTTCGTCACTTTTCTTTCTGAGCCTCCAGACTCCCCTCTTTCACCTCCCCCAGGCAGAGAACTGAGTGCAGACCACAATCCCCTCTAAGATCGCCCCTACAGTCAGCCAAGTTGTGTTCTATGGCAAGAGATTCCTTCCAGATTCTGAGTTTTGAGAACCCATGGGCACGCTTCCTCCCACGGAACAACAGTCCTTGCCCTTGTCACACACCTAAGAATCCCTGGACAGAACCCCCACTCAGGAAAGTGTGTTGCTTCATTGTTGCAAAGATCTGCCAGGGGCCCTTTACTTTGAGTGCTCAGCTCATCCACAATTGGTTGGCGGAGGGGACATCCAACTAGTCAGTTCTCCTTTTGAGGCCCAGTTGAGGAAGCTGAGGTCTTAGGAAAAGCCCTGTGCACAAAATGTTATTGCTGCAGAATATCGGGCCTTGATAGGTAGATATTCAGTGTGACACCCTAGGACACCACTGCCCCTCTCTCTGGGCCCCTGCGAGGAGTGGAATGGTTGACCTCCAACTGCCTCTTCACGGCCCAGTGAGCTGCAGCTAGAGGTGAGTTTAAGGTTGGAGCTGAACACCTGATGGCTTGCACTTTTGCAAGTTTTCTATGGCATTCCATGCAGCTGACCTCCACGTTCTCTCTCACGCCCATTAGCCTCCATTTAGGCAGAGTGGTATCTGTGTATGTGCTGGGTGTGGCCCAGAGAGGGTGCACACGGAGGTGGGTCAAGAGTGTGGAGACGGATTTACATCTCCTGTGTGGTGTGTCTGTGGTGATCTTCGAGCAGGTAAGGCTGGAGAAAGCACCTTCAGGCCACCAACAACCTGAAGCCCATGTTTAAAGTCAGGACTTTTTCTGGGATAAAGAATAATCACCAAATATTTTTTAAGGCATCCTTTTCCCCTTGCAGTCTCCTCTTTCCCAAAAGGCGCTCTCCCAGCAAGGCCTGCCCTGACTGCCCGATTTAAAGCTGCAATCTCCTTGGAGCCCTTGTCCTGCTCACTTTTCTTTCCCACAGTACACATCCCCTTGCAGAGTCCCAGTCCTCTGGCTTTTCACTATTCCTCTCCCCCACTCAAGTGGAAGCTCAGCGAAAACAGGGATTTCTGTGATTTTGCTTAGGAAGGCATCCCTAAAACCAAACACCTCACCAGGCACACTGTCATTAAACATGTTTTGAGTGAATGAGTCCCAGCAGGAAGACACTGGGTGCTTCCTTGCTTCAGAGGAAGGAAGTGACACAGCAGCAGCAGCAGCAGCCGCCTCTGACGGTGCAGGCTTGGGATGAAGTGAGAAAAAATTTTCTAGAGAAGCACAGGAAAAGAACTACATGGCCCGCCCCCCAGACGGAGTGATACCTCAGCCTAGGAGAGGGAGTGAGAACTGAGGGGCTCAGAGCAAGGGGCCCAGCTTTCAGTCAGTTCACAGGCCCCAGCAGGCAGCTTCTGAGGCTCAATCATAAAATTATTTGGAAAGATGAAAAGGTTCTGGAGGGTTTTTTGCCAGCAATGTGAATATATTTAACACTATACTTAAAACATTGTATTTAACTGCATTCTTTAAAAATGGTTAAGACAGTAAATTTTATGTTCTTGCTAGTGGAGCCTTCCGTGGACAGTTTCTCGATGAAACTGCATGAGATTCCATGGAAAGGCGGTCTGATCAAGTCCTGCCTGAATTCCTGTCCCACAAGATCTTGAGCAAAATAACACGGTTGTTTTAAATTGCTAAGTCTGGGGGTAAACTGTTAAACATTAATAGAGAACAGGAACTCTTAGAATTCAGCTGATTTCTTCATCTCCCATCCCCGCCAGTTCATTCTGGAGGTGAGGTGAGGACTGAGGAGTATCCTTAACATTTTCTTATTCTGAAGCTTTTTTCGTTGACCATTTGTTTGTTAATGTCTCCTGCCTTCATACAGAGAGGCTTCGAGACCACTCACAAAGAGATAGGCACTAAGATAAATAAGAGAGACAGGGAAGATCAGGGAAGAACAGCAATGGGGTTGCTCAGAAGAGCCTGCAGGGATAGTGGGGTTAGCATCAGCTACACAGGGGTGCTCACTCACTGGCAGCTACAATAGGTTGTGAGTGGGGATACCAGGCCCCCAGGGGCCTGTCCCTGAACCCTCAAGGTGGCATCAGAAAATGAGCTAGGGGGAGTCACATATGGGCAAAGTTGTTCATTATGTCCGGGACTTCACCCCCTGGGAGGCTGGGAGCTTGGGTTCTGGGCTCTATTCTTCCTGGGCTGCCAGGGATAGCTCCCTCTCTGCGCTGCCACCTCCAGGCCTGTGAGGTTTCTCTTTGCTCCTGAATGTGAGCCTGCTCATCTAGCGTCCGGGAACACCCACAGGGCAGCTTCTTGGGGGTTCTTGCCCGTTTCCTCAGCTCAGGGAATCAGCACAGTGCTGCTTTTCTTTTTCCCTGCTGTGGCGTTGTAGGGTAAGAAAAGTATCAGGTTTTTCTGCCCTCCCACCATCAGGATTGATGACGGATCCTTGCGGTCCTGAATACATGCCTGATGGTGGACACCTGGAATAGGGTGTGGGCAGATGTAGATGGGATTCATCTGGGCTAATAAGGGCAGCGTCACAGGGACGCCAGCAGGAGCAGAACCACGAGCGGAGCAGAGAACAAGGCCACCAGAGAATGGTGGAGAGCCCAGAAAGAGTGAAGACTTGCAGGGGGCTGGGAGGCCTGCCAGCCTCCTGGCCCCCCAGCACCCCTGCCTGGCATGTACCTGGTAAATCCCAATAAAGCCTGAAAAGCCACTGAGGGCTCCAGGACTTCTTCACCGGTCTGCTCGGGTCATAGAGATCCTGCTGTGCCAGTCCTGCCCCTACATGCATTTCCCATGCTGTACTCCCTGGTCTCTGTCCCCCCACGTTCCAGAAGTAAACCCAAGGAATACACAGGATGCCCTTAAGTGCCTCTATGGCTGCTATAACAAATTCCCACAAATTTGGGGACTTCAAACAACATATTTGTTCTCTTATAGTTCTGGAAGTCAGAAATCTGAACTAGTTTTACTGGAATGAAGTCTTCCAGTGGCTTTAGGGGAAAGTCCGTTCCTTGCCATTTCCGGCTTCTAGAGCTGTGTATGCCCTGCATTCCTCAGCTTGTCGGGTCTTCCTCGATCTTCAGAGCTGCAGTGGGGCAGCCTCAAATCTCTCAGTCCTCACACTGCCTTCTTCCTACTGTATTGCCTCGCTCGGCTTCTCTCACCGAAGGACACTTGCAACTACATTTTGAGCCTATTCAGCTAATCGGGAGTTATCTCCCCATCTCAAGATCGTTAATTTTATCACATGTGCAGCTCCATCTGCCATAAAAGGCAACATTCCAGGTTCCAGGAATTGAGACCTGGATATATTTTAGGAGATTCAACTCATCACAGGAGCCCTCAACATTGACAACAGACCTGCCTGTCCAGATGAGCCTTGAGCTAGACCAGAGCCAGCCACAGACTACAGAGAAATGAAAAGGGTTTTCTGTGGTGTCTCTGGGAAGGGAGGTTCTGTGCAGCCCGGTGGTTCTTGAAGCAGGGGTGCGGAGGGCAGCATCTTTAGGCGTTCTTAGCACAGGTTCCCTGCCAGACT